ATGGTCGTCAGCGTGTCCGGATGGTCAAGACCAAGCACCTTCTCACGCGTCGCCAGCGTCTGCCTGTGCATCGATTCCGCCTCCGAGTACTTGCCCAAATCCATTAAGACAGAGCCAAGAAGGCTCGCGCTGAGAAGTGTGTTGGACTCATCCTTGCCCAAGATCTGCTCTCGAATCCCCAGAGCTTTTGAGACCATGCCCTCTGCTTGACTGAAGAGCCCTTGTTGCCACGCGTACCGGCCAGTGTTGTTCAACAAGAAAGCCCACGTGTCGGTCTCTCCAATGCTAAGCTCCTTCTGCTCCACCATAGGTAATACGTGTGGAAAGAGAGTCCGACATTTCGGCCAGTTTGCGTACTCGCCGTCAGGAAACTCTTGTGCCATTGCCTGTACAAAGGCCCGTTGCCATACGCTATCTTTGTTAGCCGACTTGAGCCATACCCCTGTCGCGAGCTGCACGAGCCCGTGCATCTCAAACTCGTCCTCGCGCTGTTTCATATTAACTAGCGAGAAGGCACGAAGAAATGCCACATCTTCCTCAAAGTCATTGTTTTCTCTATTTGTCTGCCTCTCTACTAAGTTGTCCTGCTCCTTATTCTTATTATCTGTGTAACGACGAATCATAAAGTCAGGAATGCTTTGCGGGTGGAAGAAACTCATAAAGGAGAGAAGGTCTGCCGCTGACGGTCTCTGCTGGAGTATATGCTCAAAAGAGATTTGCCATGTCGCAAGCACAGAGTTTAGTGCATTCCCATCGCGTCGCATATCAGGAGCTGCCTTGCGGAGCAGCCCTACCTGTCCCTCGACCCCCTTGAGCTGGCCAAGGTACTTTTGGATTGACATTCGCGGCCCTAGTCGATTTATGTATGCCGCCGCTTGGACGATTGCAAGCGGGATGCAGTCGAGAGCGTTCACAAGCTGAGTCGCACCATCCGACGGCTCGTCTCCTAGCTTATTCCGTAGAAGCTCAACAGCCTCGCTGTCACTCATCGCACCGATCTTGATGATATCCTGCTGACGACCCACGAGGCTTCGGGCAACATCAGCATTTCGCGAAGTGATAACAACCGCCCCATGATCGCTTTGTGGTAACAGCGAGGCCAGTGGTATGCTCTGTTCATCCTCCTGGGACTCGACCAAGATCTCGTCGTCGACATTGTCTACAATCATCAACCACCGTCCGTTCGCCTCGTTCGATAGCCATCTACAAACAGCTGAGACAGTGTCTACCGCAGCACTAGGCTGAGAACGGAGCCCAACTCGTTCTGCGATGTCGCTGAAAGCTTGCTCGAGTCGTGCTGAGTTGCTCGCATGCACCCAGAACACCGACGTGTCCGGCTGTCGCTGTCGCACGCGATGCGCGTACTCGATGGCTAGCTGTGACTTCCTGTGCGATGTTAGCACATATCAGATACAGCGAAGATACGGTCATACCCGAAGCCGCCGAAACCCACAAGCGCGGCGCGGCCCGCTCGGCGCGAGCATCGCTCATCAACACGCTCGAGGATATCACCCCGGTCGACAAAGTCGCAGTCCCTGCGAAAAGGTACGTTGAACGAGCCTGTTTGTAAGGATTGAGGATTACGTATATTTGCCTTTTTTTTTAGTCGTGAAAGTGCGTGTTCTTCGCCCTCGCCGTAGATTAAAGGCATAAACACCCCAAAGACCCCTAGCAAACAGTACGCCTTATCTTCTTTAACTGTAGTTGTCCGTTTCGCTGCCCAACTTATTCGCTCCTTAAAGCTAAACTCGCCAAGAGACTGTCCTCTTAGCGCTGCAATAGGTATCTTTGTGACCTCACAGACCTCCTTCTCCAGCGATATCTTGCTGCCTAGTTTCTTGCCGTCCCTAGAGAAGAACTCAACCTGAGCCGGCGCTATAAGCTCCTGCAGCGTCCAGCCTCGCGTGAACCATCGGCTCCGTCGGAAGGCCTCTATCCAAGTTATCCGGAAAGCTTGGGCATCAGTAACCTCTTCCGGGACATGGACATCTGATAGGTATACATAGCACTTCGTCGCACGCTGATACCAACGGAACATAGAGTTGATGGCTGTGCTGAGTTCATTGCTGGTCAATTTATTGATACAAGTGATGAATGCATTGCGGTTTTGTCTTGATATATTAATTCAATGTGTTATTGGATGTTCTACGGTTGTTTTTTCCGGTTACTAAGTAGAAGAAATGTCATGCATTTCAACCTGAGCCGCCAGGCGACTGAACAGCTCAAACTCCATTCTTTCAGCAGGCTTTGGACCATTGAGAATGTCACCAACAATATCAGAGCCAGGCGGAAAATCATGCTCGAACCGGGGCTCTCCAGCACCTCTCATGTTTGCCAGGACCGCCTGCCTGAAGTGCCATCGCAGAAGCTGATCAACTGGTCGTTGGGGGTTGTTCAAGAACTCGAGATCAAGATGCTTCCCAGCAAGGTTTCTCGCATCTATTGTGAAGAATACAATCTTGTAATTGTCCTTTAAAAGATGTTAGCTGTTAGATCTTTACTAAAATAGTAGATATTCATACATCTGGGTTGATTGAGAAGCTGTAGCTATCAAAGAGCTGGTGTATGGCAGAATCAAGTAACAAGCCATTCTGTACTGAATTAATGCCCGCTCCCTTGGCTGGTGGAATTGTAATCCAGCGATCGTAGCTGTTATTCCTCCAATGCTCTTCGTAGGCCAACGGAAAGATGTGAGCCGCTTCGAAGCCTGTCCAATCGTCGAGATGTGCACCAGGTACTCTGATACCAGAGACGACGCATCGACGATCTCGTTCCCGGACATTATCGCAAAAGGATTGCACGCGAGTTCCAGTCGCTTGAGATATCGTACGAACTAACCACGGCTCGTCATTAATCGCGAAGGTGCCTGTCCAAAGCCCTATAGTTAGCCCAAGATAATAAGACGACTACATGTGGGAACTTGCCGACAGCGTGGATATAGTATTTACCAGGCTGAAGCGGTTCATCATCTCTTCCAATCTTCGCCTCGTTTTCGTCGTGCAATTCAAAGGTAGACGTGAACAACACAAGGATCTCCACCATTGAATAAAGGCTTGTATTTGTTACGCCATTTGTAACAATCAACCCTCCAATCACAGTAGCAGGGTCTTCAGCATTGTAAATGTGGACTGTCCGCCCTCTTGAACGATCTCTCGGGGCCATTGTGATTGTTTGGGGCGATTTCGTAAGGTCAGGTGAATGTGGTGCGATTGGAGACGCCAACAACAGTGACGAGGACGACATGGTGCTTTCTTGGAATCGATTAGTATCATCAGGACGACAAAATGCAGGCGCAGGCTGCAATAAGGAAGGCGGTTGAGGATGTAAAGTTGGGAAGTGGAAGCAGGAAGGATGCTGGCTTGGCTTGGGCAGTTGTCCGCTAGCTCGACCACGGCTCAACCTCGGCTCAGGCCTGATTTCGGCCCCTCTTTGGAAGATTCGATCTGAGAACTAATGTTACTGAGAATGTGGGTAAATCAAATAATACACTATAATACGAATTTTGTATAGAAAAGCTATATACGTTCTGCCGCCATTTTCGGCGGCATATGCCACCCTTTTCGTAGCGCGTTGTCGTCGGTGGTGAGTCTGTATAGTGCAGCAAGTGTCTACCCAAGAATACTTTAGGCCATCCTCAGCAGCTTTGTTAACGCAGAAGCGAATTTTAGCGTAGCCAGCCTTATTCTTGCCAGTCCCCGCCACCAGCTCGTCGTATGTGACTTCGCCATCATTCCAAGTATGAGAGAGAATGGCATATGGAGGGATCTCGTCGGTAAAGGTGGTTAGCTTGAAGCCGTCGTAGTTCGGGTTGGATTGTAGGAGGCGCATTTCGGACGCATTCGTCAGGTTTGGATAAATAGGGTTCAGCTCTGCGCTACGTCATTCTAGTAGAATGTGCCGGTAAAGTGTGCCGCAACAAGAGATTCTAGGCGATCAGAAGGCTAACGTTAGTAAGGTGAGTACTTGTGTTGTATTGTAGTGCATGGTGTTTGGACGCAGAAAGGGCTAAATAAGGTGCAGGCAATTAGTGTCTCCTGCGAAAGCCTTAGTGCGTGTCAAGCGCAAGGCGAGTCATTAGACGCGGATTATGTGCGCGTGAGTCGCTGCCAAGTGCTGATGTCAGCGGTAATATAATACCGCTAAGCTACTTTCACTTTGGTGGCTGAATCTGTCGCGTCTGTCACTTTAGAGCCAGTGGATTTGAACAAGCCTTGAAACACAACAATCCATTAGACGCTGTCGCAGCGCTTAGGATTAGATTATTGTATAATAAGCCGCAATTTAACAGTTTTTAACAGGATGCATAGACTTTTTAGTGCAGCTCCGGCGGTCCAAGCCAAAGACCTCGCAACAGGCTATCAGCGGATTGCGGTATTGCACGGTAAGCAGAAGCTGGTTTAAGAAGGCATTAATAAGAAATGCAGTTTATAAGTTGTAGATGTTATTCTGAGAATATCTTCACTTTTGAAAGGTTGTGGAGTTTATCACACTAAAAAGTATATGCGTCGTCCCGCCATGGCGGGTGTCCTGCTACGCAGGGACGCACCTTAGTCCACTATGTTGATAAGCACAAGGCATCCGATAATAGACGCTTTGTTGAGATATTCCGGGAAGGATAGTGAAGAGGGGTAACATGACGTGGAGGGTATTGAATAACTATGCGGCTCAAAAGCGGTACTAGGGCGACTTTCTCACTTGGAAAAATAGTGTGACTGAGGGAATTGCGCGGAGTAGAGGCATCTAGGAATGAGTGTACGTCGGAAAGCATGTTGCAGTTGTGTTAGGGTGGAGGCCCACATGTCGCGAAGGTGGAAGGGTCTCTTATGAGATAGTGAACTCGGAACATCTAGACGGACAAACTTCTGACGACGCTACAACGCTGAAAACCCCTACATTCCCTTTAAATCGAATAAGTTCATATGGAATTGAATTGCGCTAAAAGCTATCTTTTATCTTAATTTCAATATTTCTTTAGAGCTACTGAGGGTTGTGTTGTGCAAAAGAGCTGTGTTGCTAACCTTGACTTATTTCCCAATTCGCTTCCGTATGAGCGGATAACGAAAGGCTGAAGGCTGAGGCCTGGAAGCCATTGATATTGTAAATGGCACTGTGGTGGACTCCAGAGGTGCTGCATTGATCCTTCGAAGTGTGGCCACGTTGCCAGAGTTGCCATTCATCGTCATGTACCAACATTAACTTCCAACAGTGTCGATTCCCCCTACTCATCCCAACCACATTAACCCCAATGTCTTTCACTGTGGGATAGGGTAGCTCCATGTAGTGCACCATGCGCTTGACACTGGAGAATTGACTCAGTGCCGTCCGGTCTTCGACGCTTACAGATATTCAGTATGTACTCTGATTCTGAACGGCCTGACTCTTTGTCACTAAACAGAGGGAGTGAGAATGACCGATATTCGAGGCCAGCAAGGGATTAGATACGGATGGTACTCTTCACATATGGATAGTGCTGCTCTCATATGGGAGAAACACAGTCTCAAATAAACCTGGCGGGCAGACGAGGGGGGGCGCAAAGTAATTTGTTAGTATCGCCGCATCATTGCATTAGCGACTGAAGTCTATCATGATCCGTTAGCTATGTAACACATGCTCGAATATCCTGGTCCAAATCTTAGCTTGTATTTGAAGCAAGGACTATTCTTTCTAGTTTCTCTTCATTCTGCGATCAGTTAGTAACTATACCTATAAGTCTTAGTTTACCTTCAATTTACATATTCAAGACTCACCCTTTATTTGTACACTGGGAAGTCTATTCTTGTGCTTTGGAAGCTCAGAGGACTTTGGTTCCTTGATCCGGGACCCCGATATGCTGTAGGGGGTTCAGTGGTGTTCTTGCTCTCTTTTAAAGACGCCATAGTGACCAGAGACTAGGCGAGAATTCGCAGCTAGTGGGGAGAGAAGTAGAGCCGGTAAGTTAAAGAAGATAAGTTTCTATAGCTAAGTAAGGGGAGTCGAGTAAGGGAAACCGGGGTGAAGTAGGGAGGTCTCAGAAATTGTCCACTTTAGCCGTGAATCTTCAGATAGTCCTCAACTAAGATAAGGACTTTGTCTCTCTGTGATACTTGGTATTAAATGAGAGTGCATTGAACTGAGTGCTCATAGGAGGGCGTATATATAGGTCAGTTGTCGGAAATCAATCGTGATGTTCCGAGGCTCTGCTCACACTTTGTCATGGCGTCACGAAACTGGTAAAGTAAATAATGTATATGTGATTATATAGGCCTCCTTGCAATGCAGAAAGAGAAGGAATAAGTGGTACATAAGATTCTGAATTGTGCTGAAGGGAAGAGCTCTCGTTCCTACCACCCTCTGATGTCGGTTATGGTGGTTTCGTAGAATATTGCTTGATGAGAGGGCTCTTCAACCGGTGTTAGAGGGCTACCATCAATGTTATACTGGGAAGGCACGGAAAGAAACAATGACCGCTTGGGTACTTGGGTGCTCGAGACTAAAATTGTAGGGGTATGCGCCAAAGGCAGTGAATTTGAAAGGGGGGATTATATGAAGGTGTGTAAGCAAGCGCATACCAGGATCGCCTGTCCCGGCTCCCCCTGAGTATATAAAGGTTCACGCATAACTAAAAGTGTTGGAGAGGAAATCCCCCCAAAAAAAAACCCCTTTTATATTTTCTTTGGAGAGTATGAAATGAAGACAGACTAGCTTCTGGCAGTAAATCATGAGCCGAGAATGTTTGTGTGAAGATAGATGTTGACACAGGCGTACTCTCGAGAACATCTAGTAATAGCGAGTTCCACACTGATACTTCAGAGAAACTGCGTCGTTTTCTCACCTCAATCGCCACCTAAATCGAACCTGTCAGTAAGCGTCCGCTCAATGGTAAGCTCCGCTTGCTCGTTTAGTAGTTTGAGATCCTGGAACCATATTTTCTTATTCCAATCGAAAGCTTCAGCACGATTGCGAAAAGACCTGTGGTGGGTCCTAGTAACAACAATTGTAATTCTGTTATAAAATTTATCCCTTTCAAAGCCATGTCTGTTAGATTTGGAGGTTCTACATAGCTATCATAGCCAAGGATAAGAGATACAAAATAAGCGTCCGTAAATTCTTGTCGTTGGGCAAGGAGGAGAAGCTGGGTCAAGGCTACGAAGCAAATGGTCCGCCTCAGCGGCATATTGCTGCTGTGATAAGAGAGGGCGTCCAAGTGGAACGGAAGAAATGTGGTCTCATCGAGAGATCTGCTTACTCTCTTGGAAAAGTACATTGGAATCCTTGGGGCGCCTTCATCTTTTTCTTTCACTTGAAGATTCCGATCCTCGAAGATCTTCATCCTTATCTCTGGCGGAAGGCATAAAAGTAGCGACTAGTTTTAGTTCTAGTTCCACCAAACACTGCTTAACGCCAGTGGTACCCTTTACACTCTATGCTCTCCGATGTTACCTCTTTTGCTTACAACTGAAGCAATGTTCCCTTAGTCTTGAGCTTGGTGAGAACACTGCATCTGCTAGGTTTTACTGGACTCTTCTTTTTGAATTTATCCCGGGATATTTTCGTAGTCGGCTTAGCTGTTGCCGGTTTGCACGGCAATAGCATTGCTAAAGCGAGGATGTGAGGAGGGAGAGGAAGACAGATTGAGCTCCTAGAGGCGAGAAGCGGATGGTAACTCTTTATCGCTAGACTTAGTAGAGTGAAGGCCTGATTCTCAGGAGGAAGAGAAGAAGCGGCAAGCTCCAGCAACATAATAAGTGAAATACGTTGTGGGGCTAAAAGGGCCTAGGAAGCTACGAGAAGTGGAGATAAGAGAGGTACACCCTATTGAGAAACTCTAGAGCAATTATGGGACTAGAATACGGAAGTGGTTACAGCATCCTATTAGTAAACAGTCTTCCAATAGCTAATTTAATGAGACTTCAAAGCGATAGACAGTATACTGTCTTCCTAGAAAGGGGACTCTACACAATTTGCACTTAACATCTTTGGGTAGATTGTAAGGGGAATCAAAGAAGGGGCTCGAACGGCTGAAGTATTATCACAGGTATGTACTGTCAGCGGGCGAAAGAATAGTGTGCTCCTAATTATTTTTAGACAACGCACAGGTCTAGCAAGTTTATCAGAGGGAGCTTCACCAAACGGTGCTAGTTAGAGTAAGCATACCCCTCAATTCTCATCTCATTGGCACAACAAGAGGCCTAAGGCCCATTTGCAGAAAATGACACTATGAATGGGAGGAAGTGATTCATTGTAAAGGAAGAAGTGCAGTCTCGTTGTAAATCTAGCGGCAAGTCCTCTAGAGCGCCATTAAGTTCGGGCGGAGGCACTTGACTTCCCCTATTCACATATACAGGCGTTTTCCTTTGATGACAATTTTGGTCATGGTGTTTAATAGAATATAACTGTTACTGTTAGTAGTGTTTTTAAGGCGTTACTAGCAGCAATAGGGTTTTGTTCTTATAGAAAGAGTAAATTAAAACAGCCTTACAGGCAGTAATAGTTACTGCTAAGTTAATTAATAGTAAAGTTACTGTTTAGTGCAGTTACTACAGTAACTAGTGTTACTAGAGGCTCTAGAGGGCTTGATTTTAACACAATCTTGCTAATATAGTTGTGTTAAGCTCTTTACACAATATCTAGGGCCCCTAGGTTTTAGCTAGAGGTTGTAAGTCTAGATATTCTCCTACTTAGTGTTGTTAAGGTGAGGGTCCTTAGGAAACTTGTAAGAATAGAAATACTAGAGGACAAGGCCTTAATTATAAGAGCTTCTAGAGGTAGCCCTTAACTCCTTAAGACAACAAGAGCTTGCAAGGTGTTAAACTAGCTGCAAGCTTTAAGTGCAAGGAGTTACTTCACTGTTCTGTACTAATAATAGATAGTATAGGCAGTTACTGCAGTAACTATAGCCTTATTAACTGTATAGTAACAGAAGGCAATTCACTTTTGTTCTAACTGCTAAGAGATTGTTACTATCAGTAACAGTAGGAGCAGTACTACGTTCTATTAAACACCATGATTTTGGTGAGACCGCTGGCAAGCTTATAAACCTTGATCGGAGCCACTATCTTCCCGGCCTTCTTCATCTTCCTCTGTCCTCGAGTCGCAAAAGTGCTCGGTGGAAGTTTAAACTAACGCTTTGACTAGACCTTCTTTAGTGCCATGAAAAAGCGTTGATTGCTCTATGCTGAGATTCGAGGTGGAGTAAAGAAGGTATTGAGAGAGAGAAGGGAAGAAATGGGAGATTGGCTAGGTTGTGGTGGAGGCGAAAGAGATGTTGGAATAAGCTGTGAATGACATCTAACGACATTCAACGATCACTCCCCTACAACCATCACTTAATCCTCGAGCAAGTGGCGGAGTTGAGTGGCACGAATTCGGGCATGTCTCCCCAATAGGATGGGCGGTAACATCAGCTTGGAACTTCTTCATTTGATGATCAGTATCTTTAGAAAAATATATACTCACTGCTACTGAAGATAGAGGAAGCCATTGTAAAAGTCTTCTATTCCTAACTAATGGAGAATGAAGGAGGACTAGATGTTGAAAAGGCAAGTAGATGAACGCTAGAAACTCCAGACCTAGATATGGAGAGTTGTGAAGAGGACCGAAGTACCCAAAACCGCAATAAATCGTCGAGATTCTAGTATACAGATCCATGACCTTAGATAGCAGGTATGTGCATTGGGGGGTAGGGGGGTAAAAATGGGGATAATGGATGGATGTATCGGAGTAAGATGGTGCCTTTCAGTTTACACATGGATAAGAATGGAGAAGAAATGAATGGAAGTATAAGGATGGGGAGTAAGGATGGGTGTCGTAGGTTGGTGAAAAGATATGAAAATAAAGGAACCCGGGCCTTAGGAAGGCCGTTCTCCCATTCTGCCCGAGAGAGCGAGAGCTTTCAAGGTGTTAGAATAAACCCGAGTCGCGAGGATGATGCTATAGCCTTTCCGAAACACTGCATCCAACCTTATCATGTCGCATTTTCAGAGACAAGGCTACATGCAAAGTGGTACCTAGTGCCCTGCAGGAGGTCGCTCCAAGTACCGCCACTCGATGTCGACCTTCCCTTTCTCCCGCATGACGACAATCTGCTTGGACCACTCAGTCCAACGTTCCGTTCCCTTCCATGGAATATTTATGATGAGGTGCTTGATTTTCGGGAACCTACGGCGAAAAGCCGGCCGCCGCTTCGACGTGTACTCATCCATGTAGCGCACAGACGGCTCCAGAGTTGTGACAGCCTGAAGCTGGGCAATGGTCCGTCGCTCGACCCAATAGTCCGTCGGGTTGTACCAGTTGTTCCCGTACTTTCCGAGGTATTTCCGAGCAGAGCCCGCGAAGGAGAAATTGTTGAGCTTGTATGGAAGGACTGCGGCTTCGTTGTAGATTTGGCGGCAGACGCGAAGGAGCTGGAAGTTGGGCTTGACGGAGTACGGCGAGGGGTCGCAATTTTGGGGGGAGTCCAATGGGCGTGCCACGTGCCAGATATCATGAGACCACTGCCGGGTCTCCAGGATGTACTTATTTTTTTCGACTTGGATTTTGATGTCGTGGCCTCCGAGAACGTATCCGAAGATCTTGTTACGAATCTCAGGTGGCATGCGAAGCAGCGGAGACTTCAACGAATTCTCCTTGGTGCTGTATAGTGTAAGTTGTATTCTCATTTGATCAATGTGGCAATGTTGCTAGCGTACATGTAGTTGATATCCGGTGAAGCCTGGTTGAGCTTGAGCAGGCCATTGCGGTACTTCACGAAGCCTTTGTTCTTGTCTACGCGATGTTTTGGATTAATATCAGCCCGGCCTGTGTCGAACTTCGTTGAGAGCGCTCGTAAACGTTGCTCAGACCTTCGCGGCGCCATTCTGGGACGAATTTGTGAGGGGCAAGAGTATTGGGTATATCGAGAGGCTAAAGATTTGAGGAAAGCGAGAAGTTGCGAAGTCGAAAGAAGCTGCGAGGTAGAAGGAAAGACCAATCGCTGGAGCTAGCAGGGGCCTATATACAGGACACATGACTGAGAAAGAAATAGTGAGGACGATTGACTGAAAGAGCGGTGGCAGGCAGCAGTATTGAAGATGTGAAGTTGAGAGGTTGATGGAGGCGGTGAGGAGATGGGAATGTATGAGGGGTCAAATAGAATGCAAGGGCAGACCTTAGCACAACGATATAGGCTCGGATGAAGGACTAAGTTAAGATAGAGAAGAGGTTAAGATGAAGAGAGAAAGAAGGAAGAAAGGGGATGCCTTTTAATTCTCTTACTTCCTTCATCATATCTCGTCTGTAGCAGTGTTCATAAACCAAATGATTAACCCTTTCCTCACCAACCTTGCCAGTGCTGCTACAAACATAATTTCCAAACTCTAGTCTATATCCTCATTCCTCGGAATCTAGTGGAACAACTCTCTTCAAATTAACAAATGTCTTCGAAAAACAGTCGTTCTAACTTCGTTCACGCCCTTGCTACGCATGGCGCAGCCGGTCAGAGCTCCTTAGTCACTTCGAGCTGTACTGGGAGCTGGTATCGCATTCAGAGCCTCGTTTCAAGGTCGCAAATGAAGATAGAGCAAAGATCCTCGTATAGCAAGCAACATACTTTGATAGGTGCAAGACTGGGCGATCAGGAGGGCTCTAACACAGCGCCCGTAGAGTGGAGTGGGTGGGTTTTTGTAGGTTCCGATTACAGATATTGAATTCCCCTTTGCCTGTGACTATTCAACGTCTCTCGGTAGAGATAGGAGAGGAGTCCGCCAAGAAATTCGGTTGACTGATGAAGAATTAGAGAATCGTTTGCATTTTTTCAGAAACTGTAAACAGATTCAGCTTTCAGTGAAGGCGTTTGAGGTACATGAGCCTAAAAAACTTACAGTCTGGCCTTTAAGTTGGTATGTTCAGACTTAAGAGTCAGGTAGTATTTTTGGATAGATTTCGCTACCTTGGGAGGCTGCTGTGGTTTGCTTCGTGCAAAGAGTTGTTGTCTTACTCTAGTCTTTCCGTTTCTTAATCTTTGTGGCGGCATTTTTGAATGCGAGAGATATGTTCAACGTTCAAAAAGCTGGGATATTGCGGGGACGGTGTGGTGACAATTCTGGTGGTTGCTTTGGGAAAGTAAGGTATCGCTTATGTAACCATGCCAAATTTCACCTAGTTATCTTGCTTGGGGGGTATTTTCAGAATTAAAGCAGAATATGCCTAGTTACCTATATAAGTATAGCAGCGAGCTTGGAGGCTTCGTTAGGGTCTACTTCGAGTTTCTCGATCAAGTTCGGAGTGGCGAAATGATAAACATATATTGGGAGCAATCCACTGAGGTGGAGTGCACAAGGCAGAAGATGATGCTCGACAGGGGCTCTCCAGGAATCAGGAATTTAAGAGAAGTATCTGGCATAGATTATAGCCTAGAAACATTGAGGCATGGGCGCCGTTTCTTCTCTGGAATCACAATGGGAGGAAGGTCTATATGTAGCAATTCTTCGCTAGGCGGCTGCACCCTAGTTGGGGATTTGCCTGGTGGAAGCCTTTTAATCCATTAACGGACTAAGAATCCTATTTCACTCCTATCCAGACTTGAAGGACGCAGGTCCGCGCAAGCTGCGACGTGGAGGACGTGTCGTCTCAACAAACGTTACGCCAAGATCCGCTCCACGTGCACTCATCATCATGCCACCGCACTAATTAACCCAAACTAGACATACTGTGGAACCAGCCAATCAACATCCTTCATCCCAGCATTTCTTAAGCTCAATGTCAACACGAATACGAAGTTCAACGAACACCGCTGAATGCCTTATCTTTATCAACGCATAACGAGATTGTTCTTCTCGACACGAAAGGCTAAGGACTGGGAAATGAATACAGAAGATGGGGGTTTGAGCCCCTCGAGCCGTGCGGTGCATCATGTATAGACGCGTAAGTCTCTCTATATCGCGAATGATGTGGCGTCGGTGACATTGAAACTGAGGACTTGGCATTCCAATTGAATGGTTCTGAGGTGCGCCATGCAGTATGTGCCCAAAGCACTCCTGATGCCCGCGCTTCTCCTATCTCGATCATATGAAAGGTCGTCTACTGAATCCACTCGCCCTGCGTCGACAAGAAATGAGAGAGCCATGGCGATTGCGACAATTTGATGAGAGTCAGCACGATACGGGGCAAACACGCATCAAATCACCCAACGTAAGATTAAGCTTGAATTGCTTCAGCCATCTTCTTTCCCAGCATCCTGGAAGCTCTGGATCTCGTGTCTCATCCTAGCGCGTCAAGCTTCGCGGCAAAATACAAAGTAACACAGACAGCTCACACATCCTGACCGCAGATCAAACTTAACCTGGCCCCTTTCCTCATCATTACCACCGATATTCACCCAGCCGTCCCCGACCCTGGCGCAACAACCACGTCCTCCACATCCCGAAAAGATCCCGCTCAGGAAGCAGCAATCCCACAAAAGCAAAACGGACTTAGCAAGACGTCTGTTCACGAATCGCCCCATCCAACCATTGCGTGACAGGAGGTGCAGTGGCTGCATGAAACCCACTTTCTAAGTGTTTCACGTTATAGCGTCGCGTGTTATCGATCGGAAGCGAGCCGGGAGCGGGACTGGCGCGAGCCGCGTCCCTGACATGACTGACAGCACAGCACACGCGCCGCGATGGGATAATGGGGAATGAAGGCACCCAAAGCGTTAGAGATGTCATGTCAAAGTAGTGGAAGCTCGTGTTTTGAGTCGTGCTGGTAAAAGTTAAAATCTACTTCAAGCAAGGATACGTAAACGAAGGATTCGCGTTCGTCGTCAACAGACTAGGAGATTCTGTTAGTTAATCAATGCATGTCACTTGGAGAGAGGGAAGAGGCGAATATCGCAGCCTTGCCGTATCCTAGTCGTAGCACCACCCGTGGGCAGAGAATCGCCAGATTACCTATCTCAGAAAGCATCTGCTCATGGCTGTCGTTCTCCAAAGTAAAAGGAATCGGCCCGCATTTGAAGGAGAATCCAAGAAAGACCATGCACGAAACTCTCGAGCTAGATATCCGCAGCTGCTAGTCGATCAAAAACATCGTTTAGATTCGCAAAGTGCACACCGGTGAGGTTGAAACTAGAGAGAATAGCCTCGCTAAGTTTTGTGCCGTAATGTTTATATACTGTCCATCTTTGATGATCAAGTCTTTAAGAACAAGGGAAGCATAATGCCGCGCCGGTATCTTGATAGTTGCCACCGATGACGGTGCGGCGCCGTACGACAATAAAGCTCCGCACGAATTGAGAAGGTCGAGTAGGAGCTGTGGAGATCTGGTAAGGCTGCAGGTGCATCCCATGTCAGTGTACCCACAAACGTCCATCAGGAATCAAAGGCTGTGGGTAGATTGCGAAATTAATACAGTAGCATTCAGAGCTTCATCAGGATATACAAAGTGGGAAATATGTCCACGAACGATCTCCAGCAATTTGGTAGTGTCGATAATTGAAAGCCAGGCAAAGCACAACCCCTGCCAGGATATGGAGTACCGCAAGTCCAAAAAGCGCACCCTGCAAAAAAGGCCGGCACGCACGTTCGATGAAGGCACAAGCTGCAGGCAGCTTAATTTCTTGGCCGTCTTACCGTTCCGCTCTGCCAGCCCGGCTAGCGACCGTCCATGCACCGGCATCACATGCGAAAGGGATGCGCGCCTCCCTCCCTCGATAATGTACCGAATCCCGAACCCGCGTCCAATTCAGCATTCATGCACAAGTGACAAAACGCACGCACCATTCGCTCTAAGATAGCCGCGCCACTTTCCTGCATCAATATTCGTACAGCATGCAGGTCCCTAGCACACACACCGGCACTACCAAATTCCCTTCCCCTCCCAACGCACCTTGAACCTTGGAGAGGGTGAAGAACTCTCCATTTCACCCCATGCAGAGTTGTGAACCGCTACAGCATCATTCTGTTCCTGGACACGGTGTGTCGGAATGCGGGTCGGATTTGGACAGGTGGAAGTTTCCGCGGCCTAGCGACTGACCTTACAAATGTGGATGGAATGGTTAATCGGGATTTGAAGGGGTTGGCTCCTGCCGCCGGGGAAATTTAGATGGCGGTCCAGATTACACGGTGTTAGTAAGAAGAGATTAGCATTGTTGATTAGTTGGCCTGATTGTGTAAATCTTTTGCTCGCTTAAACGTTGGAGAGGACGGGTGTTGGAGCTACTGCAAGTTTCCGGTATTGCAGGATTTCAGAGGCGAATTTCCTGAATGAATGCGGAGGCAATATGCACGTAGAACTTGTAAGGAGTTGAGAGCCCGGGAAAGTTTGATTGATGACCTGAGGCGCAAAAGGGTCGTATGGTCAGGATCATGTGGATTTCTGGGGAAATTCAAGCGCCGCTAGGGTTAGCAATGATGTGTAGATATGTTGTAGCGGCTTTTGTCAACGTGGGTGTGGGACTTGCTAGTTGCAAGCGCTTGTAGATAGATGCGCGTCATGGGGAGGGCGTTTGAGAGCGTCAGCAGCTTCCTCTCCACTTCGCCGAGGAATGATACAAGAGGATGACATGTGCTTTTGGGCACTTGCGAACGATTGTGGTGGCCAAGTTTGTCAAAAGGGACGGCGAATTCGACTAATACGAAAGTAAACATTGAAGCCGTAGTGGCTGACTAGCATTATACCCATTCCTGATGGTGATAATTCTCAGTACCGCATCCCTTTTCCTTGAATAAACCGCCCGATATGATGCAGAAAGTAAAAGTACAGAGGTCAGTAATGACCGTGATATGTTGATGGCAGAATCGATACCCGTGGGAATACATGCTGCGAACTGGCATGGAGATAACGAAACACTTCTCCTCTCCTACAAGCACTGCTGTAGCCCGCAGTCCGCTGTACGCGTGCATGTTAGAAGCAAACATTATTTTCCCTGGTTGGTCCCGGGGAAGGAAGTTCGGTCGCACAATAATCGATGTCGAGATATTTTTAGAGTCTTTGATCAAGCTTTGTGGCATCTTGCAAGCTACGGCTGCTTGCAGGACACCATGCGACCGTGAGTATGGCACTGTGCAACGCTCGTGAGCTCTTCTCCATTATCAGGTAACCCACTTTGGAAGGTTAACCGTAGCCGTTCGATATCTGCAACACATCTCCCCTGCATGATCGTGGAGGGTGGTGATGATTTATCGGCCGACGAAGGTATGCCCAATCATTTTTGAGGTGGCGAATAAGGCTTGTCCTCCTCTTCTGTGACATTGTCCTCTCAAATATTTGATCACAAGTCGCCGAAGCGTGATACGAATGCGGAATCCATCGGGGCTTCCGGCCGCAAGTTTGGGTGGCTAGCTTACGCGCAAACCAAGTGATCATCTTGCTCGTTTATACATGGATTGATCTATCATTGGAGCGTTTCCATGGTCCCATCTGCGCTTGAGGCCATCCGGAAAGGAGCTAGCAACCACCTCCTGCCACATAGTCGGGGTGACATACGGAACGCTCGGGGTAGCATAACTAGTAGGAGGCGGTAGCTGAGACTGTACGCTTTGAATGCTGTTTGATTGAGGAGAGACATTTGGTAGCTGATATCCCGGTGGATTGCTCTCCTGTGGTGTCCGGACTTCGTAAGTTCCTGTGGGAGGCGGTCTTAGAGGAGGTGACGATTGGGACGATGTGCTAGGTGGGGGCGTACCAAAGGCAACATTCCATTGGCTGTGCCACATTCAGTCAGTAATTGTTCGGGTTGAGCGGTTGGATCGGCGGGTACAGCAACTCACTCAAAAATGCGTTGAGGGTTCCATTGCACCGGTTCTTGCATTTGCATACTCGCGGTGGTCTGAGGCGCACGTTGTCCAGCTGCCATCATAACCAAAGGCTGAGCTACTGGAGAGTCAGCCTTGGGATCCTGGTCGGAAGCCGAGATTGGTGGAGTGATGGGGTGGGCATGGTAGTTGACTTGACCTGGATGTTCCAAAGGCGAGTGCTGGCTGGGAAGACGAGACCGGTACGAACCCTCATTGCTTAGTGGGCTGGACTGCGCGGGGGCTTGTGGACTTCCAAACGGAAAACTAGGTTTCAGTACGAAAGGCTTTGTTATATCGGCAGAAAATGCTTGACGCAGGGTGTTGACTTGCTGATGCATCTCTGGCATTGGCCATGAAGGGGTACACGTCTCTAGGATCCGCATATGTCTCACAAAGAACTCGCGAGCATCATTGTTCAGTTCTGGATCTGGGCAAGTTATGGCAACCTAGCCTAGTCAGAGCACGCTCGTTGGTAGCCGATGAAAGGTGGACTTACCAGATGAAGCATGGTGCAGGTGAGGACTGCGTAGATAGTGAAGCTCATTCCCCTCTGCATACAGAGTAGCCCGGCTAGTCCATACGTCTTCAAGATCGCTTCCTGCAGTTTGCACATGTTCTTTGCTGCCGAATAGCAGGATATCATGTGCTGCTTCCACACGCCGTCATATGAGTCCGAGAGAACCTGGAGCTGCGGTCGGAGGTGCATGATTACCCCAAGATAGTGATAACAGTGCATATTCGCGATGAAGTGGGATGGAATCCATGGTGCCGACCCGTCCTGTGGATAGACAATCTGCATGTCATTTGGTAGTTCCCTTAGCCAAACCGGCCAGTCGGCGTTATGGCCAACGAACTCAGGATCCAACGCCCAGTCCTTTCTCTTCTTCCTCAATTTTCCGTGGGATAGAGTTGTTTGCTGAATGTTCTTGACAATTCGGATGTATTGAGCGAACTGGCGTGAAATCTGAAATTCAGCACGGTCAAGCCCAGGAATTAGTGTGGGCATCTCGAAGTCCACAGTGTCCAGGTAAACACCGAAGTCAAATCGTCCTGTTTAATTTTTTTTAGCACCTTTTGCCGAAACGACTGAAACGATTACGTACCCTGAGGACCCCCGACCATTATCTCCAGCACGAATAGGGTATGCCACACCCTTGTTTTCGCAATGCAATCAGGTGCTGAAGAACCACACGATTTGCCCATCTGGTGCGTTTCGTAATGCTCGTCTAATTCGAGGTCCTTTGCCATTGCAACAAGATTGACAACGGTCATCCATGAGCGCCAAAAATAGCCACGCCTTGGGGATGCTTCTCTTGCTTTCATCAACAAAATCACCGCCTGCATCGTGCTTAATCGGGGAACGTCTTTAAAGCTCTCCTCATGCTCTGGGCTCAGGGTCAGCGAAGTGAAACCAGCGGGAGAGGGGGGGGGCACTAACTGGACGCAAGGGCCAACCACTTGTTTCCTTCCGAAACGCCTTCCAGCATCACCGACGCGCAAGCAAAAATGGCCTCTAGCAGGAGTGGTGAAATGGTTTCTGGAGCGGTTTGCCATTGTTGGTAAAAGTAAGCACGATTAATCACTGGACAGTACGGATGGATGCTGTCGAAGTAGTATTCGAAATACTGAAGCGCTTGTTCATCCGAAGGCATCATTTCTGGTGGTATTCGAATTGTATGATCCAGACTCGCCGAAGGGGGTAGTTGAACCTCGAACTCTTCTTGCGCAGGCGTCTCTGCGAGATTTTTCTTTTGATTTGTAATGTATGGTGCTGTACTAGTCAGTAGATAGAAATACGGTGCAGGTTTGCGGTAATCTTACCGACTGCTGTATAGTCAATCTTTAATTCACCAAGTGCATCTGCGAGATTCGAGGATGGATCGCTTCTCCAATTTGGTTCTGTTGCTGGAGGGCTCATAGATGGAGCTGGCGCAGCAGACTGGGCTTCAGAGTACATTTGATGAGGTTGGTAGGTTATGTTCGGTCCAACAACTTGGGGCTGCGCCATAGGCGGATACTGAATGTGGTCCTGCGGGGACTGTTCCATGTAGGGCGACGTCTGGTACATCCTGATGCTTTCTGCATACGTTGCGGTGACCGGAGTGGGCAATGAGGCTGGCATTTGCGAAGCGAGTTCGTGGGGCATAACCGCATGGCGCTGATAGTCATGCTGGCTATTCACAGCGGACACAGCATACTCGGCGGGCTTCGTTTCGAGTTCGAAGGTCTGAGTTCCAGAGTTAAAATCTTTATCATAGCTGACGGTGGGTGGCACGCAATTGAGCTTCAACCGGATACAAGCAGCGCATGGCCATGCGTTCGTGGTCGCAGCATCGCATTTGATCTTGCGCCTTCGACAACCTTCGCATGCTCTCATCACTGTTTACAGTCAGTATCTTAACGTCTGAATAGGGTCAAGGTGAAGGTGCTGTGCCGCACCTTTGAGGCGCTTATGTCTATTGTGTTCGTCCACAAAGACATAATCTGCGAGACATGATTAGCATTCCGTTTTTGAAGCCGTAGCGCACAAATGGTTCTCACTCCGCTGATTCTCTCTTGGCGCCAGAGTCGGCGGCGCAAAGGTAAAGCTCTGCATCTGAGCCGTCTGTGGCAACAGTGGTCGTCCGCTAGTTTCGCCCGGCATATTCGCGCTGAGGAGAGTTCGACGAAAGTCGATATCGGATGCTCAAGAAGTTCTGAAGCGTGGTGGTTACCAGCGGGCGGCGGGGTTCTCAGTTGCCAGCCAGGTTGAGATGGTTTGGGATCCGGTGGAGAGCGCGAGCCAATCGATAGCAACTTCAAGGCTGGACTCTGGACCAATGTCCGCTGACGAACGGCAAAATGACGAAGTCACGTCGAGGTCCCCAAGAAGATGCAAATGGTGGTCGTGATTTCGCGGGGCCTGCGAAAGTATGCTTTTACAGCGGGAAAGAAATCTCCGCAAGGCCGGATGATGTTAGATCAGGGCGCATAGAGATGAGCTGTGGGGACGAGGTTTGGCGGGCCAGGGTTGAGAGGCCTGTGTGTAGTGCGTGGCTCTCGCGTGCCCGTGGTACGAGTCTCCTGAGGGCTTGAAGAGGATGCCCGGCGTGACGAGGAGCAGCAGGAGACGGCAGCGAGCAAATGCCAAAACCGGTTGTGAGGGGATGTAACTTGCAAGAGTCAGGTTGCGCAGAGAGACTCCTCCGTAAGCGCACCCGAGCGTGTGAGCGCAAGCCCTGAGTTGCAGATGGACTGCAGGGCCTGGTGGAGGATGGGAACTGCCGTTGAGCTGTGGGGGTGTCTCGAGCAGGGCCGCAGGGGGGTAAATATCTAGTCAGAGAAAGACGATGGAGGTTTAGTGTGCTCAGAGATGCTGCTACTCGACCCCTCGCAGGGCTCTTCAAGCTTACAACATGGCGAGCTACTGCGTCTACCGCTGCTGAAAAGAATAAGGGGTGGGTTGCCTGCTGCGCTGAGTCTGGTCCACTATAAATCATCGTACGACTCCGGCCCCCTCTACTTGACGAATCCAACGCAGTCATCTTCATCTTTTCTCATCAAAGGGACGACGTTTAAAGAACGCGACCGGCGGCGCTGGTTGCAGGCGGCCAAATGCAAATCAGGAGCAACAGCTACCACCCATTAGACGTCCCATACTCCAGAAGCCAGTGCTCCACCTCTGATAGGACTACAACTACAGAACATTGCCGAACGTCGAGAACGAGCCCTTACGCTATCCCACAACTCTATTGTTCCTAGGATGTCGAGGCTGGTGCACGTTCCCCTCCAGGACAACCTGGAATCTTGGGTGGCTCCAAAAGCCCACTGCCCAACTGCAAGTGGGTCTCCAGTCCTCGAAATTGCTGCAAAATAGGCGCGATGACGAATCACTATTCTTCGCCCTGGGATATATCAGATCTCAACCGCCGTATAGTAGACTACCAGAAAGGGGCACACTTTTTTTGAACCCCAAGGAGTCTAGGGAACAGCCATCTCCATTGTGACGGCACTAGGCGGCCTTGGAAAGGAAGGAGGCTCGCTTTTTGGATCGACCGCTGCCTGGCAGTGGCACCGCACTGACTAGCACTGGCTCCCTTCACTCAGATTCGACGCCAGTTTGCTAGAAATGTTTTGCATCCCTCAGCCAGGTTGGGCGTGAAGATGTCTGGCGGCTGGCGATCCTCCTGGCTTCTGGCCGCCCGCCTGGCTGGCCGTACACTTAATTCACCCTGGCTGACCAGAAGTGCCTCGGCGGAATGACTGGGGTCGATTGGCTGCGCATGCCATGGATGCTGTGCTCTGACCACAAGTGCAACACCACCAGTAGCCCGCGCATGAAACAATATTCTGCAAAATCATCGCCGTCATCTGGGGCTGATGAAGGTCTTGCAATGCGCGCGGCCAGCAGTATTGCCAATTTCGTCAGCATCTAGGGCATCGCGAGCGCGCATGAAAAGAACACGAATCCTAATAGCCCAGCAGCCTCCAGCGTGAATTGGCCCGGGTGACTGGTAATGCCAGAAGGTGGTGATACGCTTTGAGATCCAATCCCACGGCTCGTTCGGGACGTGATTCGATTGAAGGTCGCAGCTACACGCGACTCCGCTGGGTTGATCAGGACAATATATTCTGCCAAGTCGGGTGAGATAGTCAAAGACAATCAACGATGGCGGGCCGGGTGATGGACAGCTTTACTTTCGGATGAACATGATTGAACCGCAACATTTTCTGCGGCATAGCTATCCCCGTGGCGCTTGTTGACGTACGCAGACCACATCGATGCTGCAGAAGCCGACTTGAATTATCCGATAGAACAAGCAGCCTCAACACTGGAAGCACTTGTGCTCGTGCTCATGCTCATACTCATGCTCGTATCTGGATTCTGATGGCTTCTGTGCCCGTCCGGATATCTGACCGGATGCTCCCGCAGCAGAACATGACAGAACTCACTTTCAGCGGTACATGTGTGGCCAGCCGCACTGGCGGCTGCTGGACTCCTGGAAAGCGCAAGAATCCCAAGTCCTTGGTTCATTCATCGAATATTGACCAGGGGCAAATCCGCTTCGGTGATGCCGCGTGCCTGAGCGTGCACAGGGAGAAGGCTGACAGGATCAGCACTGATGAGGTCAATCTGTTCGCTTCATCTTTCCGTGCCAGCCTATACTAAAAGCTTCCACGAGACCCCAGGCTTCGACAATGCTTCGAGAGCGGAGCTTTACGAAGGTCGAGGGGGCTATTGACGAGCTAAGTCTGCAGTCGAGGGCTGATGCATGAAGACGGCTTGGCAACGCTCCAGACACGGCATTTGGCGCATCATCGCACCGTTGCATGCTGCTCAGCGGCTAGACAGAAACAGCTTAGAGTAAGGCGTCCTGGCGGCACATCATTGAGCAATGTCTCTCGACAGCGGTGGCAACCACGACCAGCCTGCCAGTCAGCCAGAGCATGGTGCAGGCATGCTGTGGCCCAGCGTCCCGCGTCAGCCGCTGATGCAGCAATTCATCGCAGTCGACGGTGGAGGCGGCATGCTGCGGAGGAAAAGAAGGTTCCATGCAGGTCGCCGACTGCCTTGGATGTGACGGGATGACCTGCAGGAGGGTTTTCCCTGCGATGGATGAGGGCCTCCTTTGAGAGAAGGCTAACTTAAAGCATCAACCCCACAATCACACGGATACCTGGTTAGTAGCGGTTTGATAAAGAGATTTGGTTTCGTTGCCGCCGACGGCGAGTGACGGCATTTCTAATCCCTTTGTAAGCAGTGGCCGGGAGGGTTTGCTGTCACTGCAAGTTACAAGCAGATTGTGAGGGTGGCGGTGGGAGTGGGATATCTTGGCAGAGGTGGCGGAGATAGTCCACCGGCACAGTTTTCCGCCGCACGGTGAGTAAAGATGCTACGACTGCTACGACTGCTACGACTGCTACGACTGCTACCGTCACTCTCCCTCGTGCCTGCCTAGCTCGGACACGCATGCACACTCTTGCACCTGTCCGGTTGTCTGGTTGTCTGATTGTCTGATTATCTCGCGCCGCCATGGAGCCCGACAAGGACAACGCCAACCCAACCATCCTCAACGCCTCCGACCTGCCGTCGCGCCGCAGAGAGTCTTCGGTCAAGCAGCGCGAAGATGGTGGCACCGGCCTGTTCGACCATCTGATACCGCACTACAACTACCTGAGTGACCCCTTCGAGCGCCCCGTCTCAGCAAGCGACTCGGATGACGACTCTGTCGAGGACATTGATGAACAGGAGATTTACGGTGCGTTCCTCTCACTCCGCTGGCCGGGCGATATGCGAGTAGATCTCCTGATGCCGGTGCGACTCTGCGCTTCAACACCAGCTTGGCTGACTTTTTTACTTTTGCCTTCTGCAGACCTCATCTCCTCCATTTCTGACCCGGAGCATCCGCTGTCGCTCGGCTCGCTCGCTGTCGTAAACCTACCCGACATCCGCATCCTCCCCCCCTCGTCGCCCCATTCCACCATTAGCACCGTCGTCGTCGAGATCACCCCCACAATCACGCACTGTTCGCTGGCCACCGTCATCGGTCTTGGGGTGCGAGTGCGGCTCGAGCAAGCCCTGCCACCTCGCTTTCGTGTTGACGTTCGTATCAAAAAGGGGACTCACAGCACTGACGAAGCAGTGAACAAGCAGTTAGGGGATAAGGAGAGGGTTGCAGCGGCACTGGAGAATGGAACCTTGATGGGCGTGCTGAGGAAAATGCTGTCGACCTGTGAATGAGAGGGTTGTCCTGCTTAACCAGCGGCAAGCAGGCATATCGTAATTGGGCTCCCTATATTAGCTACATTCAGCGTTCTTTTTAGACTTCTCACGATTTAATGTTCGCATTAGGCGGCGTCGAGGTAAGGTGCCGTTTCCTGACTCCCAGTCCACATCTCTATTTTAAATGTCGAGCATGAATTCAAATATTTTCTGGTTCCATACTTTGTCAACAATCCTCGCGTCGTTGGCGTGTTTCGTCGCGTGTACTGTCCGAATTCAACTCTTCCCCCCTTGCTATTTCTTCAAAAAGCTGCCCCACCAGCTCCAAAATTCCGCCTCATTATTTCCAACCAAAATTTACGGTTCCACGGCGCTCAACGCGTTTCCGCCCATGCAGCCGTATAGCCCGTGGCTAATGCAATATGCGCGGTGCAGCACTTCCCCTGCGCCGATCCACGGGCCTTAACGCACGTAATATAGACCCTATATGCAACCCAAACCAGCTTATTTGCCAGTCCAACGACATCTCTTGGAATCTTTGCTGATGTTGAGTCTCTTTCGCAAAGGAGAGATTGTTTAGCCACGGGTTAGGAGGAAAACGCCTGGCGCTTCGAGACCCTCTAGCACTTGCGTCTTTCCTAGTGCACAGTGAAGTATTGCCAAGCGATTCTCGACTACTTTAATATGGACACACGTCCCATAGCGGGCTTAATGCTCTTGTTTGGTTGTTGAAAAAAAAAAATTTGTTGTATAATCAAGAATTTCGTGTTTCAGGCAGGAGCTCGCTGGTTATCGCAGCCAGTCTTCCTCATTCGCAAGAGCTCTTTCAGGCATTCACACATGTACAATTTTTTATGTGAAGACTTGTAATATTCAAGCTCTCCATGATAGTGTACTTTAAATACTGCGAGGAATCTGCAATCAGCCGGTAATTGAAGGACAAGCTGCAAGCACCGCAATCCGGACGACAACAACGGGGTCATCCGTCGCGTTACTACTGACGACGGCACAAGTATACGTATTTATATCAATTGAGGTACCGTGGTAGTGGAGTCGGCAACCTGCAAGCCAGTTGCCTCTCCTTTAGCGACTCCACCGCAAACTCTACAACCGACCACCCCTTCTCCAGTTACCCTTCAAGATATTAAGTTGGTTTATCTTTTTTACCGCGGATTGAATAGATGCGTGTGGCCAGGATTTAGCGTAGGCTTAGACGAGATCATATTTTGTCTGCGCAGCAAGCAGAGTATGACCAATCTAGAGACCATTTCGCACACCATCTCTTTAGCACCCCTGTCAGAACTTTACGATTTGGAAGTGGGTTTCTCTCTTCTAGTTTCCCTGGTGAGCAGATGTTTCACGATTTAGTTTGTGAACGTGACAAGGGGGGTGACAGCTTTGAGAATGCTCTGGACTCTCTGGAGCGAGAAAGTAAGCTAGGATTAGTGCCTTTATTTAATAGCGAGGTAGTCTGCTTCTCGTATGCTTAGAAATGGGATCTTGTCGGCGAAGATAGCTTTGATCCTGTATAAGAACTAGAGTAAGAACTTACTATTGCATTGCGGCTTTCTTCTACTAGGATTTAGTAACCTTCAGTATGAAAGAAAATATCTACTAGCGGCCGATGCGTTAACAATCTCGAAGATATATCATGGCAACCCGCCTCCGGATTCACATTCTCTCGTACAAGATTATTGGGATGAGATGAGTGAGAGAGATAAAGACTTTGTGGATGTCGTTGGCGTGAACATTGTTCTGCGGGCCTTGGAAAAAAGCAGCAAGAATATCAAACAACTCGTTATTCCTATGCCCAGCTTCTACTATCCGTATATCGACATGTTCACGCCTCTGGAAATTCTCTGAAAAGTCTGGACAAGAATTTAAGCATTGAGCACTATTCGTGATCACACTAGCTTAAAAATGACCACGATTCCCAAGAACCTATTCAAACTATCCGTTCCCAATGCACCAGAGCCGGAAAGCGGGGTCTAACAGCCACTTATAACAATCTATCTTGTTTTGGAAACCTACCTGCTATAGGAGAATCTTCTACAAAAGCTGCTCTATCATGTGGTAAAAAAGGCAGTGATGTCGAGTCCTGCGTGTAAGAAGGGGGCTGAAGTAGAAGACATTACTGATCAGCCAATGCAAAAGTCTCAGGATGCGTCAGTATACTCTGAATTCGTCGGTCTAATTCTGTCACCTAAGTGTCTGTATTCTAATAAATCCCAAGATTCCGGGTAAAAACGGTGTCTACACACAAAGAAAAGAGAAAAATTCATAATTGAATGCAACCGCGTGGTCTGAAATTTCGGGTTTTGTTCCCATTCTAGGCTGATTTGAGAGGCGACCAGTTTCCACCCGCTAGCATTGAGCTATCGGCTTTATGTCACACAGTGAAGCTGTAGTGGACATGGAATAGCATTGCATCTGAGTTGTCTTTTACTCGTCCTAACCCTTTCCTCTTTACCCTCCATTCCTTACAGTATACATTACTAAGTACTGATATAGAATCTTCGAGGTAGACAGGGCAGATCAGGCATTGTATATCAACCTCCCTCAAACTCAGAATGAACAATCTGTCGCTTCAACATAACTATGCCCTATTTGCTATTGGTTGAAAATCATACTTAACCCCTCAGGGTTATTAGATGGCATAGAGACAGTCCGCAGGAGGAACTCTTCCATCCCGGCTCTTTCGGGAGGATTTCCGACTTGACTGAATGAGCGAGGGAGGATGTAGACTTCGAGCGTCCTTCCCTAATCGCAACCGCTCCCAGAAAACCGGTAATATGGAACCTTGAGCGTATCCAATCCTTCATGAACGGCTCTGAAGCAAGCAACCCTATTAAAGAAGTCATTCCGCGAGGCGGAAAACTGATCGCGACCAAACGTTACGTACCGAAGGCTTGCAAACCTAGAGACGCTGTCTGCGAGGAAATAAAAGATAACAATGCCCTCATTTTCGGTAGCATGATAGGATGTCTAGCGGAAAAGGCTGATCCAGGTTCCTGGAAACCAAACCTTCTCACCCTTGTTTGTTATGACCAATTTACAGAATATGTGCTGAGAAAGGGACTGCTTCAGCGTTTCGAAAACAATATCTACCTCGTAGCTATCGATCGATGTAGCCTGGGAGAAATGAGGGATGATAGAGAAAGTAAGCATCACAGCTTTAGCATGAGACACACGACGAGGGCACTGACCGAGGTCCTTGAGGTTCTGTATGCTATGGGAAGGCCACATGTTGAACAGTGTGTTGTTGATATAGTTGACATAGGCTTCTTCCTCAGAGCAGTCCCCGAAGCCGCAGAAGACCAAGAGGAAACCAAGTCCTGAGCGAGGTGAATCGGAGTATAGCCAGTTGGAAAAATCGTTGTCGAGAACTATCTCCAACAATTTTGAAGGTAACTGGTTGAGAGGACTGGCTGCTGTAGTGGAATACGTCGTGGGTTGTTGACAACCGGGCTTCAAATGTCAAGCAGGAGGACATGCGGTTCTTATGGAAGGCAAGTGACATCCACCGGGTAGCGATTCGAAATGTAGGCTGAATCTCGGTAGTGGTACGGGTGATGGGCTATGTGATGCCAGTTCAGTAGAAATTGAAGGAGGCACGGGAAAGAAAAGCGGCATGTTCTCTGAGGCATTTTTCACACACTTCATCAGCTTACGGAATGAGATCCTTCTCCGAGGACTACCCGATCACCTTGACCACATGGGACTAGTCCCTGAATGGGCTGTGACTCAATATATCGGTAACGCCCTCATCGACTTTCTCGCCCGATGCCTGAGCCATTTCCCGAAACATTAGTACATCAAGTCCACTCACTTACACACTTAGACACGAAAAACCAAATAAATACTTCCTAAAATGCCACCAAGCCATCATTAGTCATGTTACCGTACCTCAAGCTTGAACTTCCGATACAGTTGTTAGCATGTCCAACGGACTGTACACAGGAGTTGACATCCTCGTACAAGCCATGGAGGCCCCCCAACAACCCCACCCCATCTACTATCCGGCAAGCACATTACCCTAGCCAGCGCCAGTATCTCAAGTCCCAGCTTCGCCATATCCCTGGACAATATCGGGCCAGCTAACGCTAGCCTAAATGAGCTCTGTGGCTATGTGTTTGGCGTTTCAACTGACGTCTGTAACATTCTAAACCCCTATAGAATATACCCAAAGGCCTTCCGGAAGATGGAGGCTCTCCAGCTTAACACACATAACATTTCGGAACTGTGGGATGCCAGTCTGGACCTCGGTGAATTCAGCTCAGTGTTCTTAACGGCGGCGAATTTTCATTCATTAAGAAACTTTATCCTTTGCACAACCACTTGTGGATTTCAGATACCCGCCCAGTAGTCTTAGTATCTGCCTCTTCATTGAACGCATTTGGCGCCGTGAAACCCCTTTAGCAAAGCTACGTACATTTTAGGCGGTACAAGAGCGGGTTATTCAGCTTTATAGATAATATTTCAGGTCCACTTGAATTATTACTACTTTCAATGGGTGGCTCACATAGTACTGGTATAGAGAGGTTCGAGAAGTTAGAGCCCCGACATCGCGCTTCTCTAATCCAAATTTGCCAGTTATCAAGGAACTCACTGCCTGAGAAGCTCTTGAATCAAGCGGCTAAAAGGGCGGTACTAATTCTAGAGAATTTAGAGATCACTGAGAATGCTCCGCTCAAGATATGCTAGTAGAACCAGGTAGCAGCAGACTTCAGAAAATTGGGGAATTAGTTCGGGGTCCGCTTTCCGGCACGGAACTTGTTCTTGTATAATAAATTGGAATAGCAGGGGTAGTCTTCCTAGAAAGAGTGGAATTTAGAATTAGATAGCTCTAGTCTGAGTATTAGAAAAGACAGGTCTCCAACGGACGATGGAGGCTGGCGGTCGCTACTTCGGTTATGAGGTTTGCCTTAACATTAGATTTTAGCAAAGCCACGGAAATTTACCTTGCTCATCCCCACAGGATACTTGTTTAAAGTGACAAAATCCTAACCGAGACCTTTAAATCATTGCAGCACACCTACGTATCCGGTGGGTCAAACACCCCTTGACTTCCTCGTCATTCCGGCATTCACCTTGCCACCGCAAACCGCTTCTTCCTACCTACAACACCCTCTCACGGCGATGGCAGTTCTACCCAAAGAGGCTGTAGCCTCGCTCCTTGCCGTATGAGACCCTGCCCCGTGGCATCTAATCGCCCACATTCCGAATGAGTACTAGACGAAATCATCTAGCAAATAAAGACACCGGTGCTCCACCGCTCAACCTACGACTCTGTCATTGACGCTTCAACGAGTGTTCCAAGAAGCCCTTCGTGAAAGCGCTACAGAGGAAAGTATTCGGTATCCGAAATCCAATGCAAATTTAACACTGCAAAGATCTGCCGAACCATGGCAACACCTCGCTGCCCGACTCGAGACAATGTACTTCGACTGTAAACCCCGTCCGTTCCTCGACGGTTCTGTGATTGCGAGCCTCAAACACCCTTGTAAGAGGCTTTTTGATGCCGATATATTCTAACTAGGCCATAGGAGGGTGCGAGCAATTTCGGACGAGCTGACTTCGAGGCATGGTGTTTAATAGAACGTAACTGTTACTGTTAGTAGTGCTTTTGAGGCGTTACTATCAGCAATAGAGATTCGTTCTTACGGAGAGAGTGAATTAAAACAGCTTACAGGCAGTAATAGTTACTGCCAAGTCAATTAATCGTGAAGCTACTGTTTAGTGCAGTTACTGCAGTAACTAACGTTTCTGGAGGCTCCAGAGGGTCTCGCACTCAGAGTTTGTAGCAGGGATAGATAGGAAGTCATGAGCTATCTTGTACAGCGTTGGGTAGTGCTTACGCCTAATTTAATGCCACCAAGTGAGTGGATCTCCATAGACTATATCGCCTTCGGCTGCAACGAGGAGATCAGATTGAGCAGTATCAATGTACTGCTGCAGCTCATTGCCAGGCGTGCCTCCTGTTCCACAGCAGCCCTTGTACTACTATGCGCGAAAACGTCCTCCGCGAACGCGTTACCAAAACGCCAAGAAGCCAATTAGTATAGGCAGTTACTGCAGTAACTATAACCTCATTAACGGTACAGTAACAGAAGGCAATTCACTTTCGTTCCAACTGCCAAGAGATTGCTACTATCAGTAACAGTAGGAATAGTACTACGTTCTATTAAACACCATGCTTCGAGGTTTCCATACGCCTGTCAGGGCAATCGAACTGCTGGATCTGAATGAGGACAGAGACGTCCAAATGAAGTCCTTGGCAGATCGTGAGACATTGATCCGTGAGGATTCGACCCGACATGAAGCCGATAAGTTTGATCTCGTCGACTTTCTTACAACGCACCTCTCGAAATGCTCAGGATAGAACTTAATCATTTTAACAGCTATATCCTAAGGAATAAAGTCAATTCAGCAATTCAAAAGAAGATCTTAAAGACTAGTGGACTCTATTGGGCCCGAAGGCAGCTATACCGTTACGGGAATGAGGGCGTATTTCTAGGCTGAGATGCCTTGCTAAGAGCCTGGGCCAAGCTCAATCTCTCTCCGACCAAACCCTGGATCAAAATACTAAGATACTTGGTCTGCACGCACTTCTGTCCTATACACTTCAGGCAGTACTGCAAGGAATTCTAGGCAAGATCAATATTTTGCAGATCCGAGAAGTCTGTCAATCGAAGATTGATGATTTTCTGCTTGATGTTGAATTAGTGGGACTTGCGACGGATGTGGGACTGCTTCTAGTTACTACTTCCGATTTCGCTTCTTTCCTGTTCTCTATTTCGGGAGCGACACACTTCACTAGATATAGCTTTATCAGCCAGCCCTCAGCCTCTCATCTGGAGAGCTTAGATATGAAGAAAGACCTGAAAGCTGTTGATCCTTGCTTCTTACTTGATTACGATAGGGATATTTTTCAGTCCTTTTTCAGTCCGCAATTTACGTGTCTCAAGCTAACCCAGTGTTGAGATCTGGATTGGCACAACGTCTCCTTATGCTCCGCAGTTCCAAACTCCGGAACCCCGAGCCCGTCAAGGGTGAATAATGGGGAGTAGCCTAGGTTTAGGGGCCATTGTACGACCTTCTGTAGAATGTTGTTCAGTTAACGGACAATTCGTTGATCTGGCCAGCACAGTGGACAAAATCGAACTGAGCGGATATGGAATGGGGAAGAAATCGGTTATGCTAGTCTTGAAGGTTGACTTTGACTTCTCAAGAGGGAGGATTGGGATTCGGTTGAGAATTCTACCCAAGATGAAGGATCTTAATCGTCGCAATCATCAAGCTCCAATGTCTTTACTTAGGTTAATAACATGATGGTCTGGGCCCAAATGATAGAAAAGGTGTGAGACAGTGAGGCCGACTAAAAAAAAAAAAATTTTTTTTGAGTAAACGGAGGGGATTTTCGACAGTGGAAATGAATTCAAAACATGGACCAATGTAGGAGGTGACTAAGAGATGAAATAAAGAATGAACTTACCACAGAAATAACCTTAGCGTAAGGCAAGCCTTGTTTGAGGATTAAGGACTTGAGAGAAGAAACTAGCACTTTATACACTAGTATTTGGCAGATGTGCATGTGCATATCAATATTTGCTTTGATTTATATAATAATTATGTCGCGAAATATCGTCAACCAAGGCCATGTGGAAGTTGAATCATTCGGGGGATATCCCTTTAAATCACGGTTCATTCTTCGAACATAGATTGAGAACCCAAAATCATCGTCATCATCGCCTTCTGTGCATACCCCTCATCAACAACCGTTCGCACAAGCTACTACTCAATCGAAATTCGCTCTGCTCAAGATGTCTTCAGTGATTACCATTCCGAGCTCCCAGCACAACTCCTATTGCCTAGCTCCGGAATGAAATTCTTGACGAGATCTTCCAATGCGCTCGTCGGGAAGGTCTAGACAGCGCTTGCCTCGTATAATCGCGCCTACGTGATTGTTCAAAGCGAGCCTCACCTCGGGACTCCCAAAAGACGATGTTCGCCATGATGAGTATTGAAAGTATGATGAATTTAAGAGCGATATCGGAACGACGAGATCTGGCGGGTTACTAATAAAGTTGAACTTCGTCGCTGCGTCGTTGCCGCCGCAGTATCTAGGGAGGCTGGAGGTCGATACTTCGGGAATTCTCACTTGTACCCTAGCAGAGGCATGCTTGAGCTCGTAGCTTTGGAGCTGGGTTTGGTTGGCTTAGCGGGTTCAGTCGTCTAGAGAGGTCAATAATCCAAGACGAAGAACAACAAGCTGACTAGAACGATCTAATTACGTTCCTCTCAATTGTGTGGAAGTCCCCCAAGGACGTTGAGAAGCTTGGGTTCAAATAAAGTTGTCAGCCGCAGCGCTACAGTTCTATAGCAATAGAGGTAGACGACGCTTGCATGAATGCCTACTTAGGACAGGGTGCATGACAACTATACCTGTAAAATGGACTAACGACTATGCGTTAAAATTCACCTCCCATGTTGAGTAGATAGTTGTCCTTAGATATTATTCTGCGAGTAGTCTCCAATACCAACGTCTCCCCAAAGAGGGTGATAATGCCGACGGCTTTCGTATACTTTCATCAATACTCGTGTTTAACCTTCCTATGGACTTCCACGGGCATTCTTCGTAGGGTATTTCAAAGGAATGAGGCTACTCTATTTTTAGACAACGCCTTTAAACATTGCCCTAGGTGTCTGAAAGCTGATATTTGGACCCCGATGATCAGCACAGGTTTCCTGGCTCTTAAAGAACCTCATATTGGCGTGGAACTCAACTTCGATATAAAACCCTACAACTACGATCACTCACTTAGGAGCACCTAGTACTCTCATTGCCTTGAATTCCCACCTCTCATTCACGTCACCCTGATGACGGTAGAAGACGGACACATAGCTTTCTGAAAAACATAAGCAAAACTCGCACACCTCGTCTAGAACAGGCTTCTGATGGCCCGCATTCAACGTTCCAATCTTTATTGCATTTTTTTGGTCAAGATTGCGGATAGAATCGTTCGGGATCAAATACACCTTCCTAGCTTGGTCTCTGCTGTTGCACTGAATACATTTGTGTTCTGAAAAAGCTGGGGGACCCGGGGGCTAAATTCAAACCTAATGGCTACAGGAAATATGGGATGGACTACTGGAAACAAGGAGAATCTGCGGTATTGGAGTGGATAGGAGATGGAGGGGTGGCTTGACATTTCGCGGGCTTGATCTCTAAGCTATACTGATGATTGTTGTGCGCATGGTTTGCATCGAGCGTACCAGCATGTACCACGTAATGGGAAGGCCTAGAAGGGTTGGATAGAGCTCAATTTGTGGATCTTTTAGTCAGAGCAAGTGCGCGATGTTGCCGAGTGAGCCTCATCACGTGGGCGGTAACCAAACCTAGGGAATGACTAACCCATCCTTGAACTTTTGAGTCCCACCTTCCCCCCACCCAATTCTCTCTCACCCAGACATGGAATGCTCCGAACACTCACCTTCATAGCCCGAGCAGCCATGGCGTCCCCCAAACACGTCCCCATCCCTAAAAATGGCGTCGATTACCGCGGTAAAGTTGTACTTGCGCCGATGGTGCGGTCCGGGGAACTTCCTTCACGATTACTTGCATTGAAATATGGCGCCGATCTGGTATGGGGTATGTCTGTTCTGGCTTTTTGTGTGCGCGTGTGCGTAGGAGTTGAGTAGATTGCTAAACTGCTAGTTCTATAGGTCCGGAAACGGTTGACCGAGCGATAATAGGCACAAGGCGCCGCCTGAATCCACATACGAACACAATTGAATTTTCTCGTCTGCCTACATCCAAGATAAAGAATCCAACGCTTGATCCTTCTAATCGTGAAAGCGTGATCTACCGAATACATCCCGAGCTCGAGCGAGGAAGGCTGATATACCAAGTCGGCACCGCAAATCCCGATCTTGCAGTCCAAGCCGCGAGGATAGTCGCACCGGATGTCGCAGGTATCGATGTGAATGCAGGATGTCCAAAGCCTTTTTCGACCGCTGGAGGAATGGGCGCAGCGCTGTTGAAGACACCAGACCTCCTCTGCAGTATCTTGGAGAAATTAGTCGAAGAAGTGGGGAAAGAGTTTGAGATAGGAATCAGCGTCAAAATCCGGCTGCTAGAAACCGCCTCAGAAACGGAAGCCCTAGTCAGACAATTAGTAGCAACAGGTATAACCGGCCTAACCATCCACTGCAGAACCACTCCTATGCGACCTCGCGAGCGCGCCATCCGCGACCAACTCAAACTGGTCGGCTCTATATGTCGCGAAGCCGGCGTTGCATGCCTGATGAACGGCGACATAACCTCGCGCTCCGAAGCCCTCAACCTCATCCGCGAATACAACGTTGACGGCGCCATGATCGCCACCGAGGCTGAGAAAAATCCCAGTTGCTTCCGCCCTGACGCAGAAGGCGGCCCGCATGAATGGAAATCTGCGTGGAAGAACGTCGTCGCTGAGTACATAAGGTTTGCTCTACAAGTCGAGAATCGGTGGGGGAATACAAAGTACCTTCTTGGCCAGATGATTCCGGGGAAAGATAAATGCTATGTGGAGATGAATCAATCTAAGTGCTACCAGGACGTGATTAAAGCGCTAGGTTTTGAGGATGCGGAGGGGGTTTTGGAGAAGGCGAAGGCGGTCGATCGGCGTTTGGGACTGCCACCCCAGGAATCGAGAGCAACGAAACGAGCGCGAGTGAGGGAGCACACGAAGAGCGATGCGCCAGTTGAAAGTCTGAAGAGTAATCAAAAGCCCGAAGAAGAACCGGAAACAAAACGGATCAAGGCCGTTGAGGCGCCGATGGAAATCCCGATTCCTCCTCAAGAGATGGTTGCACCAGCGGTGCTCTCTGTGTAATGTCTTTCTACTATGGATATGGGAGGGAACTGATATTGCCGGTTTGGGGGACTCTGGGGTTATGCATAGCATAGGTTGAATAAGATGGCGTTTGTAGCATTTATAAAAGCGAATGAGTATGTATAGAATTTTCTTTCAGGAAGGCTCACATGGGAAGGGGGTTCATGACATTGGTTACGGAGGCCAAGGCCACTCACGTAGCAATTTACATACGTGTTTTCATACACAAGTTATGCATATAACACTATTATATGTCCCACTTTGTATGTTCTAATTGAAGTCAATGTTAACGCCATCCCATGCTCCCCATTAAAATGCCAAAATCTGACTCAAACTCCCAAGCTATGCCGAGAGAGAAGTACCGTCTTTTATACAGATGCCACAAATGCATAATAATCACATGACTCTCAAAGCTCGTCTCTACCCGGGAACCTAATCTCCCAGCTCCTGGGTCTGACAGGGAGGCCGAGCCAGTAGTCCCACAATCTGCTTCCTTCAATTATGATGATCTTCATCCTATTAAACACCTATCGTTAGCCTCGCGTCTACATTGGAAAGAGGAACACCATAAAAAAGAACTTACATCTTTCCAGGAATCCTCACCCAACTCTTCAACACCCACAGAAACGCCTTCGTCACCAACTCCAACTCTGCCCAAAATTCATCCATAACCGTCATATTTTCTGCATACCATCTGCGCGGGAAGTCCGGCATTCCATCATCATCAAATTTCTCATCTACCTTATCCTCGAGTATCGATTTCGTTTTTAGGACCTCTTCGGAAGATTGCAGTGTCGGAATTCCCGGCTTGGCAATACCATCCCGTTCATCGATCATACTGCGAAACTCCTTGATCGCAGAGAGCGAGTGCGATAGACGATCCATGGTATTAAGCAAAGCCACGAGCTCGGTGCGACGGAGGGGTGGATCTTTGCTGGAATCATGCTCGTCGAATTCGAAGAGGACTTTGAGGGCGGTGCCGTAGCCGTTTGTTTGGAGTTTGCCCCAGAGGCGGCATTTGTCGCAGCCGACACAGTCCATGACGCGCGAGACGTTGCGGAAGCGGTTGCGGAAGTCTTCCTTGAGGGAGATGGTGTCCGGGTCTTGGAACATGATGGTCTCGTCGAAGATTTCGGGACCGGAGGGAATGGCAGAGGCGAGACGGAGGACCATGGCTTTTGTGCGGGTGTCTTGGGCGGGGTCTTCAGAGCAGAAGGAGTAGTCTTGTACGTGTTGCTTTATCTTCCCGACTGCGCGCATGACGAGTGCGTAGTTGAAGTAAATATTGGAGATCCGATCGGGGAATTTGTGGAGGCGGTTTTCATAGCAGCCCAAATTTGGGGACCATTGTCCTGTTGTCTGGTTCAAGTACTCCCAGCACAGATGCGTGGAGATAGAAGCATGCATACCGGATACCACGCGATAAAAAACACGCTTCTCAAGACATGTGTCATCGAATTCGACGGGGTCGAGACGGGCCGTGGCCGTTCCTTGTGCAATAGCTGACTTGACATTCTGCTGGAGACCTTGCTCTTTCATGACGTTTCGCAGCTGGTTGGCGGCATGCATCTGCTGCTGGTTTTCGAAGCCGCCGAAGGGAGAGGATTGGGAGGTGCTTTGTCCGTTCTTGGGGGGCTTGCTGAAGCAGTTTTCACGGTAGATGGCTTCCCAGACCTGCTGGGAACCGACGCCGGCATAGCCCGTGAATCGCTCCGGGTTGTCGACGAGAGAAACGTAGTCCCCCTTCGCAGTTGCACCCTCGTCGTCGGGAACACAATAGTCCCGGTCGTCGCACTCGTCATCGTATTCCACGACACAGCTCTCGCCCACATTTTCACCCAGGCCGCCTTGGAGCGGCTTTTCTCTCCTCTCCTGTTGTTGTTTCTTCCCCGGATGCTGTGCTGTCGGGCCTTCAAGCTTCCCCAACTCTTTCGCACGCCAAACCAGCGGGATATCTTCTTCATTGTCCAGGGTATTCACCGCGCAAGCCACATTCCCACACATACCATTTTCATCACTCCAGAACGGGCATTTTTTGCTGTACAAGCTCAAACGATAATGCGAAAAGAAGTCTGTGTCCTGTGTGATCGAGTGGAGGTAGGGATGGATCGCTTCGTTCAACTGCTCGAGGGTGTTGTAGGAGGCACACGCATCCGAGACAATGGCTCCGGGCTCAAACTGTACGGTATACTTAGGACTCTGTTCGGAGGCCGCGCAGGCGGATCCATTGCTTACATCGCAGACGTTTGGGGGAGGGTTCTTCGACTTGGAGGGTGCTGCGTGGCTCGCAGCATGTGAACTCCCTAGTAGCGAGAAAACTGCTAGGTAGAACACTTGCGCCGCTGACCGCATTGCGAAACCTATGGGTGTTGGTCCTGGTCAGTCGAGGTCTTCAAAGTCCAGTCCGGTGTCCAAAGGATCCTGGGGTGTGGGGAATCCTGCCACTTACAGTCTACCGTGCCTTCGCCCTATATAAAGCTTCTCGGAAGCCGGCTATTGACCTGGGGTCAAAGAGGCCAGATTGTGTGTTGAAACGCTCCAGTAACAAAGGTTGTATGTGTGGCGTCAGACGACCCTATCCAGAAACTAATCTAAAGCGCCCACTGAGTAAATGAAAGACAAGCAAGGCAATTCTAAATGCCGAGACGGAAGGTGAGGGGCAAGACAGAGGGTCGAATATATTAGCAGGGCCGGCCGGAGTTTAAATTCGGAATTGTAATCACGCTTCCATCAGACGATCGTGTTGGTTGAAATCTGGCATCAAAGTAAGTTGTGGCGGTGAAACCTCGACCGAAATTGGTGCGGTTGCTGCGGTGGTTGTGGCGCACGGGCATGCCGTGACTCGCCGGTCTGGGCCAGGATGAAGCATAGGGCTGATGCATTTGCTTTTGCTGTTAAAAATCACCTCACTTATTCACTGCAAGGAGACGGATCTATCTTCATTTCTTTCCCGAATTCTTGCAGTCCCGAATCCTAGCATATGCAATGGCAGAAACTAAACCACAAAACTGGTGGGACGCCTTCCCTGCCCCCCATCAAACCGCGCTCCTCATACCACGCGAGCTCGTCCTCGAATCACTCGCATCCCCTTCACTACTTGTCATCGACGTGCGGCGGACAGATTACGAAGGTGGTGCAATCAAAGGAAGTCTAAACCTCCCAGCTCATAGCTTCTACATGAACCGGGCTGTTCTCTATGATCTCTGTAAAAGAGCGGGCGTCAAGCAGGTAGCCTTCTATTGTGGTACGTTACCGACTTCGAGCGGTGAGGATGATGTGACAGGTGGCTGGTGTAGCGTGGTGAACCTTGGAACGTGACTGTCAATGTGTCATGTTAATCATATCGTCCATCTTGCATCTCAGCTAAATCCTTGCAGGCTCATCGAATGGGAGAGGACCGCGCTGCTCGGGTTGGTTTGCTGACTACCTGGCTGAGAATGGGGAAACGGAAATGCAGTCTTTGACCCTTGCGGGTGGCATCAAGGGATGGATCAAGGCAGGAGGAGAGTACACCAAAAACGTGGAAGGCTATGAACCAGAGTATTGGACGCAGTTCGACGAGCCTGAGAAGGCGTAGAAGCATCAGCTCAAAGATATCGTCTTAATTCGCCAACGCTCCATTGAGCGGTGGCTGTATGGGTATATTGCAATGTGTAAAGTCCAATCCAATCCCCCAGGGACCAAGAAAACATGCATTGCTGTCAACTTATGTCATCACTCTTCGTCTTCGCTATCGTCAACAACTGGCCTCCGAGCCCTCTTCTGCAGCCTGACGGCCTCCTCATCTCCCTCACTCTCTGTCACAGAATCCACTACAAAAGCTGGCCTCTTCGTAGCGCGCCCACTTGCCTCCTTTTGGATCAACATATTATCATCACTATCACTACTAACAACCGCATCATCATCCGTAGGGTCGCTTGTGAATATCTTCACCAACCTCTTCTGTCTCTTCGGCTTTGCTTCGTTAACTACAGCCTGCGTCCCTTTCCCGAGGCCTCCAAAATCCAGACTCGGAAGGCTCGAGTTCGGCACATGGATGTCTTCGTTGTCAGATGCGATAAAGCTTCGGAGATCAGAGTCTAGAAGATAGGCTTGGGTATCTTCAATTGCATCATCGACTACAGTGTCGTCTGAGCCTAGGGAGACAGCTTGGGAGGCGAGACGCATTTGGGGATCTGTGGGTGGAGGAGAAGATTCCTCCCCTTCATCTGCAAAACCTGAGAGGCGGTAGGTAGGTGTCTTAGTCTTTGCCTTGACGGTAGGTTGCCGAACTGGTGAATTTGTGGCAGCAGGGGCCTTTTTAGGCGGCCGACTACGAGGAGCTGCTGTCTTGGGAGTTGTCTTTGCTTTCTGTTTCGGACCTGGCCTTGTTCTGGGTTTGGATTGTGGCTGCGATGCTGGGTCATCATCTTCCCATATCTCCGGATCTAGTCCTTCCATCAGTTCCGAGTTAGAGTGGTCAGATACAACCATGTTATTCTCCGGCGCTGATCCGAGGTTGGAGCGATGAACATTGCTTCTGAATTCACCCAGTCGCTCGTCATCCATTTCGTGCATCCGCTGCATGGTTTTGGCAAAACGCTGGGCCACGCGCCCTGGCTGCGAAAATATTCCCGTTCTCGATACCACGCGCTGCCGTGCTACATGTTTACCCAGGTTTAGGTCATCAATCATAGGGGCATTATTGTCGTCGTCATAAACTGTCTGATAACGACGTTCAAGATCCCTCAGAGCTCCGTTATCAAGTAGGACCGTCTCTAGGAGAGGGCACACCACTAGCTCCTCACTGGGATACACAGGTGTGGCCTTCTTCTTGCCACGAGGTTTGGGGGCGACCTCTTGATCCATTCGACCCGCCGTGACAAAGCTAGTGATAACACCGTCAGGCATGTGGAACTTCTTCGGTGGTCGTTTCGGTTGCCTTCCATTCCTCCTCTTAGGTTCTGGTAGAAAATCGGCTTGCGAATTCTCCAATGGTATCTCAACGACACATTTATCTACTATAGGCTGTACCTCTCGAGGAACAATCCGCCGCGAAACCGCGTCATGGAAGTTGAATTTTGAGCCGTCGGCAATTAACTCTTGCATCTTTTCGTAGGCATCCTTGGCTTTCATCGCATCGTTTTCCTCTTTGCCTTTCATTTGTAGCAAAATGATCTTGCCTTCGCGCTTTCGACCTGTTCGACCCATGCGTTGTAACATACGGATTGGTGAAGCTTTGGAATCATAACAGATAATAAGATCGACTTCACCGATATCGAGACCCTCTTCACCAATAGATGTGGCTACAAGGGTATTATATGTCCCCGATTTAAACTTTTCGATAACCTCTAGCTGATCCTTTTGGTTCATTCCATCTGAATTTTTGGCCATGGCTTGACCAACAAAAACGCGAGGGCGGATCATCGGTTGATGCCTCTTCAATATCTTCACAATTTCCTCTGCACTGTCTCGGAAGTGGGCGAAAACCATAATGCGAGTCTGCGATGGAGGAGCACCATCTGGATTTCGGCCTTCCGCGGCGTTAACAAAATGATCAAGGATGGCCTCTTGGAGATATTCGAGCTTCGGATGGCCGACAAAATTGTCGCTAATCACCCAGCTTTGCAGTCTAACCATAAGCTTCTTAAAGGAATCGCTGTCGGTTACTTCTTTCTTATATTTAGATTTACTCCCCTCATTCTCTTGCTTGAAATCTTTCAGCTTCGTGTAGAAGGGCCCAATGCCATGATACTTCAGTAACTCCATGGCCTGCGATATCTTCCCTAGAACCTGGAAGATGGTGTTCACCATGGCTTTCTGAGGCATTGGTGCATGCTTGCCAACGCTAGCAAACCATTTCTGACGCGACTGTGTGCATCCGTATGGGGTTAAATCAAGGGGGTCGCGGCTCCAGAACGCGTTCAGTCCGGCCACCTTGTTGGTCAAAGGTTGCAGGGCTTGGGAGTAGAGCGTCATGCACATCTCCATCTCTTCACTATTCACAAAAGTGTGCTTCTCTACTTTGCGTTGATGAACAAAGTTACGGATGTCGAGAGAGTTCTCCGTACGGATTTCGATTTTGGAGATTTCTAGACCATCGATGACCTTCTGCACGGATTCCACATCTGCACCCGGTGTAGCAGTCAGAGCAAGTATTCGAAAGCTAGGATTAAAGCGTCGCATCAAGCTGACCACCTCCACGTAAGCATATGAACCAGTAGCCCGGTGTGCCTCGTCGACCACTAGGAGAACGATCTTCTTGGGGTCGGCACAACCAGCTTTGAGATCGTTTAGTAGCGTTTGGGGTGTCATGAAGAACACTCTTTTGCTGGCCCATTCTTCAGCCCTTAAGCCCGGAGCAACTCCCCCAGTGAGCAGAGTAGTTTGGGAGCGCGGGATGCCGGTGATGTTGAAGCAGGCTTGGACTTGCTGGGTACAAAGAGGCTTTGTGGGCGCAACAAACACGATCTGTGCCTCTGTCGTCCAGCGGTACCAGTTCAGCATGATAGTTGCTGCAATGAATGTCTTTCCTAATCCTGTTGGCAACGCAACTAAAAGGTTATGGTAAAGCCCTCTAGCAACGATGTTAAATTGGTAGTCTCGCGTCGTTCCAAGATTGGTGGGATACACCCAGGTTTTCATTGCTTCGTGGTTCAACTTGTGATGAGTTGGGGGTTCCTCTTTTTGGGTAGTAACGAAATTGTAGCGCTTATTGGCCTGTGAAGGCGGAACTTCTTCATCAACACCGTCTCGACCGAATAGCGTCGTTTGACGTAACCCAGTCTGTGGTGCAGCTAGCCTGGTACGCCTTTCCGATACGAGGACGACCTCGTCTTGTTTCTGAGGAGAGGACGAAGACGATGCGAAGGCGTCAGACGGAAGGTCTGCAAGCTCTTGAGCTATGTCGTAGGTCTCTGTTGTCCCATCTCCTGTCAAAAGCCTCGGCGACTGTTCGGCCGCTTTACCTTGCGTGTCTAACTCTAGACTGGATGCAGGTGATTGAGTCACAAGTCTTGACAGTATAGGCTGTGGTCCGGGCAAAGCCATTGTCTTCATGGCATCAAGCCTTGTCTGTTTGGGACTCTGGGGTCCAGAGGACCGGTGCCCCCCAGTGATCATCGAAGGCTTCTGCCAAATCGCGCCCCTCGGTTTCCACGGTGGTGAATTTTCCCTCAGTGGTTGCGTAGCATACATATCAGTCAGATCAACGATGGTTGTTGGGGTATGGATTCGATCCTTCTTCTTGTTACCCCATCGCTTCTGGGGTGACTCGTCTTCCTGCTCGTCCTCGTCATTCTCTTTTCCCTTGGACTTAGGTTGTTTCTTTCTCCCATCTGAGCTAAGTGAGGTCGCAACAGTCGAGAGCACTCCAGCGTCAAGATCTGTTGATGATTGGGTCCTATGATTTCTTCTTCGCGATATGAAACCTGTGGCGGAGGGACCTGGGTCAAAGGGATCCTCAAAGTCATCTGAGCTCGCAATAACGCATAGCTTCTTCGCATGATGGGTTTTACGTGAAGCGACTGGGTCAGTAAGAGTTGAATTTTCTGCTTGACACCTGCCCTGGTGGTTGGGTTGTATTCTCTCCGAAGTGCGGGTGGCAAACTCTGCAGATTCATCCTCATCCGCCTCATCCTCCTCATCCTCCTCAATGAAAGGTCCCGGACGGCGGTTTGGAAGATATTTTCTTGGCGGAACGGACTTCATAGTCCTTTCATCTTGTTGATCGATGCGCCGTCGCTTGGACGGCCGTGGTGAAGGATGGAATGCTAGTGTGTTTTCTTTCTCAAACTGGGTCGCTGCGTCGAGAAACGCAGAATCGTCGAATTCTCCAAATTCGTCGCTGTCCGCCATCCTTCTCACCAGTGGTGAGACGGCGACTGGTTGTTGATGATTAGGCGCGGAAATAAATTGCTGTGTATATCGCTCGACGCGTGACTCCGATCCGTGTTTAGCGTGTCGGACGCAGATTGACGGGGAAGGTGCAGCCCGCGCTCTTTCCGCGAATGCGAGGCAAGGTTCATCCGATGTGCATGAAAATGACGCCAGGCAGGCCTAGGCCAAACAGGCTAGGCTATCAGGGGCTAGGCCATTGCCATGATTAGCGAACCCGATTATTCGATGGCGCCCCCCCCTGATGTGCAGCTAATAAATAAACTAACCCTTCTCCGCTCCCCAGACTTCTTCTTTTCCTTCATCACTCTTCAGGACACTCGCTTTTTACATCGTATTTGTTCGATTCGATTCTGACTCTCGCTAAAGTCTAACTTCACTACCCATTGCTCCATAATACAGAATTCACGTCCCGCCCCGTCTATATTGTCCTCTGAGTACCACAGATTTCCAATCACACGATCGAAATATTCAAAATGAAGTACTCCGCCATCATCGTCGCCCTCGCCGCCGGCGCTTTCGCCATTCCCCAGGCTTCCACAATTACCAGCGCTCCCCCCACTGCCGCTAGCGCTGCTCTCACCCCTCAGGTTAGCTGCGCGCTCGCCTGCCCGGCCAGTGACGTTACCTGGTGAGGCATCTTAATCCCTCTCCACCTACCCTTTCTAACACCCACTAGCCAAGCTGCATGCTTGGGCAATGCACGTCCCAACGAATCCCAGGTTATTGAGACCAACAATTGCGCTGCCAAGTGTGACCAGGGCGATGGAACTCCAGCTGCTACTGAGAAGTACAGCCAGTGCGTCCAGGCCTGCATTGCTAGCTACTTCCCCAGCAGCCAGACTCTTGCTGCACCAGCTGCTGGTTCCAACGCTCCCTCGGCGGCCAGCAACGCGGCGAGCGCTACTGGCGCTGCTGCGTCTGGTTCTGCTGGTACGTTAACAGATTAATTGATTGTGCTGCGCTTAATTGATCGTCGAATTTGAACTGACATTATAAACAGGTGCTTCTAACGTTGCCTCAGGCACTGGCGCTAAACCCACTGGTTCTAGCACTGCATCCGGAGCGGCTGCCTCTTCTAGCTCTACTGGTGCGGCCAGTTCCAACAACGTCCAGCTCGCGGGTGCCGGCCTTGCTGGTCTCTTCATGGCTGTCTTCGCTTTGTAAATACTCGTTCTATCAAATTAATGTAGTGCGATAATTGGGCAAAGATTGCAAGATGGCGGGAATACGGCCTCGTTTGGTTAATGATAATTTGGATTACCCGGGTCTGGGGTTGTTATGGGGTACAGGAAATGCTGGTGGGTTCGTTCGCCTTCAGATTTTGTTCATGTTCTGTTGTGGTATCATATTGGAGAAAGCTGGTGTGCGTAGTTGTAGCTGCTAGTTCGCTAGTGTATTTGCGAATCTTTCAGTGCCACATGGGTCTCATCTGAAAATTTTCCATGTGGCCGTGAATATTCAATAAGTCCCTAGAGATCGCCGTCAACGTTGACCTCACGAACCATGGTTCATACAGCAACCACAGTAAACCCTCTTTACGAGCATGGACATGGCTTGCTTCTTCCCTTTAAAGCTCGGGCTTGACGCCTGGATTTTCACTAGAGAATATTCCAATGACGTGTTCCATGGCTTCTGTCCCAACGGCCGGGAGTCCTTGCAGTGGAACCGGCGAGTGCAAGCTCATCAGCATCATGAGGATATCAGAAAGACACAAGAGTGCTAGAAAACCCCTGGAAAGATTTTCTTGAATTTACCTAATCTAGTCGCGACTTTCTTGTTCGGATGTATTATAGTCAGCCCTTCAAGTCCAGTTGGAAAGAGAAATGATTACTTGTGAGGTATTTTTCACAGTATGACAACTCTGTCCGACCCTAGCCTTGAAATATGCTGTTCTGATGGCTGTAACTGTTCACTCACCGACAAACAATTTTACGCAATAAATGTCGCATCCATGAGGGAGTGGTGTGTTCGGAGATGAGTGGAAGAGGGGAAATGCATTGCAGAATCAGCTGCCAATTCGTTCGCCTTTGAGCATGCTATTGACTCACCTCGGTGGTCATTTTAGAAGATGCCAATGCCTTGAAATAGAGAATCGGCATAGCTAGCGAGGAAAGATGAGATGGAAAGGGTCTTTGATAGGAAGGAAAGTGTCTTCCTTGTATTTTCCGGCTCAGTCCTGCGACCGGACCCTCCGTAATACCTTCAACATTTTCGGGCCGGAAAGGCAACCACCAGATTGAGATGACGTTTATCGCATCAGCTTATTGGAAGTCTGTGGCTTGTTACTGCCCAGCCACAGTTTCTGACATACCTGCAGACTGAACACTCCGACTTCGAATTTATATAATGATGCCACTTTCCAGTAGCAGTGAAATACGTGCTCAGCGATGTGCCTTTTAATTTGAGTTGCAGGATGAGGAGCACGGTTGATGGAGATCCCAGAGTTGGGTGCTGGACAGAAATAAGGATTGAACAAGGAAGAATGCATTGAATCCCTCAGACGAATTGAAGTGCTGTCATCGAATTGCGCCTCTAATAGTAGTATGGAGAGCATTCGGTGTTTTACAGATTTACTGTATACGTAGTGGATTACAATGCTGGACTTGTGGCGTTAAAGGAGACATTTACCCCAACAACTTCTTTCTGAGATTGTTGGGCGAGAGCCGAGTGGTTGGTCTTGGCAGCCAGCTATTTGCTTTGCGTGAGGCCTCACGTTACCGACATTACCGGCTGCTTGCTTCAACCGCTCAGCTGGGGTGTTGGTGGATAGTAGAATGCAACCGAAGGGCGAGGGCGAAAATCGCGCCCGCGGAATTGGCTCGGCATGGGAAATCCCATCCAGGCTAAGTCCAACATAGCGGCAGGCACAGCAGACAAAGAATATTCCGCCATATGAGCGTGGAATGAAACACGGATGAAAACTGCAAAGGATGACGGGCAGTCGAGACAGTCGAGGCGCGAGGCCAAAGAAGGCTTAGTTATAGAGCCAGGGTACGAAACACATAGCCAATAAGACAAGGCTCAGATCAGGCCAGTCAACCGCAGCGAATGAAGAAGACAGGCCGAACGACTTCTCACCTCTTTCTGCGGGGGTAAAGGACTGCCCGCGACAAGGCGAATCGCTTTCCTAGCGCTTTTGCGGACTGCTGTGCCGACATAGCACTCATCTCGACTGTCTGGTCTGCGCCACCACGCACGAAGGGGGTGGGATTGCTCAGCATCCGCAGAAGGAACAAGAAGAGATCGCTGCTAGATATCGAAACTTTCAAGGGAGAGCCCCGGGAACGGGCCGTTTGAGACTCTGATGCGACCGCTCCCGAGAGGCCAGGTAGTTGTAGATGCGAATGCAACAAGAGTGAGCAGCGGGGCCCAACGCCAGACATGTAGTGATTTGTGCTAGCTCAAGCCATGTACTGTGTAGCACCTAGAAACGGAGCACCACACCGTTTTGTCAGGCAGGTGTAACGTGAGGCTTGAATATGCAGATGATGTGCATCTTTGTCTGGAGTTGAACTGTGTGGTCGACCCTGGCTGCGCTAAATTGAGCCTAACTCCAATCAGGATGAACAACACCGAAGTCCAAGGGTTGAGTTCACTTCGCTGCGTCGCGGGCCAGCCCAACTCCCGAGAAACAATGCCAGGCCACGAGCCGGACAACTGCGGGAGGTCCATTTGATGATGCCTAATGAAATTGGGATCAAAGACCACATGCGGGAACCGGCCTGCCTTCCATGCTTCCTTCCATCCCACCTCCAACTGCACACCTCACGTGCAAATACAGCATATTCATACCCAGTGCGGATTACTAGCAGGGGGATTTGATCAGTTGAGCCTCTTGCTAGAGTTAGTGAGAGTGTTCACAGGATGTAAATTTCTGTCTTGCATCACTCTAATCGTGTTCCACGTTGGGTGATAAGATGTAGTATGGCAGCAGGGAATGGTGGAGCTGGAGACATCCACACAAATATATCGCAGGTAGCAGGACTTGCTGTCGTGTCTCTCGGCCGGGGGTTGCTCGAGGCTTTTTCTTGACACGAGGTACGCGATGCGGCAACATCAGAATGCTCGACCTCAATTCAACATCAAGATCAGGGAGAAAGTCAAACATGGAAAACGTCCCCCTTCGCCTTCCCGGAACATTTCATCTCAGGTGGGCATGATGATGCAGTGCAGCCCAGCTCGAGGCCAGCGCCAGGCGGATGGAGGTGAGCGTCGATATGGATTATTTGATTGACCCTTGCACCACTAGTCATCAGCAGCCGGCTCCCTCCTCCCACGCATTCGGCGTTGGTCTTGGCGGTGCCTCTGCTCGTCAAGCCCCAGCAGGAGATCTTGTGGTATCCCGCCAACCCTTCTCTCATCTGTCCACTTACACTCTCCTTCAATCCCCACGCGCCCTGCGCTTCTCACCGTCTTCCACAGTTTATCTTGGTAACCCAACATCACCTGCATCAAATCCACCGCTCAGAAAATCATTTGCTGCGGTTTTCGAGTTCCCACCCTTCCCATTTCGCGTGTATGCGCCGTCTGGGCCTCCCATGCTGCCTTGATATTCGTTTTGGACGGGCCCTTCCTCACAACCTGCCTTGACGACGGCCCGCGTCTGCCCTCTGAGGGTTTCCCGCCGTCTCTTCGAATCGTCTACCGTGGTGAAACTTCCCTCTCCGGGGATTCATCACCATGGTTGACATGCGGAATGGCGGAGGCGAGGCCTCGTCCTTCAACGCCGTGAATCACTCCAATCAAGAGCCCACGCGCGGCGAAGAGCATGCGCACAGCGGTGCGTCGAAGCCCTCAACCGCTCCAGAGGATATGCAGCCCTCCAAAGCTTCCAGCAAGACACCCTCGACTCGAACCTCGACTCCCGCAGCTGGGGCCTCGGACCTCCGTCAACCCGCGCAGACGGCCACCAACACCCCGTCTGCGGCAGAGCAACCGCTGCAGTCGCAGCCCATGACGGCTACGACGTCCAATTCTTCGCACGCCTCGGCGAAGGAGCCCAAGGAGACGGCCGCCGCGCCGTACGGGACGCGATCGCGAAATCGCCCAGGCACGTCGCGGCCGAATTACGCCGAAGATGTCGACATGGACTTTGAGATGGCGCAGGCACCCTCAAATGGAAATATCTCTGAAGCACCGTCGCGTGGTTTTGTGGCTGCTGAGGGCAGACAGTCACCCGGCGTGGGAGGAAAGAAAGGCTCCGGAGCTGGACAAGGCAATGCGTCGTGGGGCAACATCGGCCCCAACCCAAAAGACAACGCAGCAAACTTGAATATTCCCGGCACCTCATCTTTCTCCGCGAACCCCAGCGGGAATTCTGGGCAGCAGCCAAAGCGACGAAAAAATGCGGCCAGTAATGCTACCAATGGAAATCATGCGAATGCAACGGCGCCAAGCCAGGCGTCCACCCGGCGGGCGAACAGTGCCATGATAGCCGCCAACAGCACCCGCGAGTCAAACATGATGACTTTCTTGAAATCAGGTTCTTTTCTCAAAGATGAACGGCTGGTGGCCGACGATGGCCAGGCAATATCAGTCAATGGTATGTGTTCACACTTTAATTTCCTCACAGTTTAATGTCGCTTCGCGTCGCCAGTCACGGCTCACGATTTCATGGGTGCCTATCTGTGGCTGACTGTGCGTCTAGACCAAGTCTATCTGGTATGCGAACCACCTGGAGAGCCGTACTACCTGTGCAGAATCATGGAATTCATTCATGTCAACGGTGATCCAAAAGCCCGAGTGGACTCTATGAGGGTGAACTGGTACTACCGCCCTCGAGATGTGCAGCGGTACAACAACGATACACGTCTTGTATACGCAACCATGCATTCAGATATTTGCCCACTCACATCCTTGCGAGGACGCTGTACCATTCAGCACCGGAGCGAGATTGATGATCTTGATGAGTACCGCAAGACGAAAGACAGTTTCTGGTTCAACCAAGTTTTCGATCGATTCATTCACCGTTGGTACGACGTTATTCCCACGTCGCAGGTCATCAACGTGCCTGAGAAGGTAAAGAAGGCTCTTGATGAACGATGGAAATATATCTGTCTAGAAACAAGCCGTGTTAAGGAATTGACCAGCGCAGTAAAGTCCTGTAAACGCTGCGTGGGCTATTGCGCAACGTAAGTGCAACGGCAATGCAAGCCCGAGAGACTGGTACTAATTTTCTCTCACAGAAACGACTCGGTTGAGTGCGCTGTGTGCCACAACACGTATCATATGAACTGCGTTCGCCCGCCTCTACTGAAGAAACCTTCACGTGGGTTTGCTTGGGCATGCGGTCCGTGTAGTAGGGCCCAAGAGAAGAAGCTCGAAGCTCGCCGAACCCCGCTGGTAGGAGCCGGCAACGATGACGCCGACGAAGAAGAATTACTTGACGAGGAGGAGGACGAAGCTGGTGGCGCCACTACCGCACCCAGCCCCAACAACTCCGAGACCCAAGTGGACCTTCATCCGGGTACCCAGGCCGAAATAGCACTTGCAAAAATGTGGCCAATGCGATATCTAGGCATTCATTGCAGGGTAGAGGACGCCCTGCAGTACGATGATCGAGCTATCTATCCCCGCGCCAGTTCCCGACTAGGTCCGCGACATCAAGCGAACGTGAATGTCTGGCATGGGCGGCCCGTTGAATTAGTGAAGCCCGCGGAAATCAAGAGACGATACGTCAAATCTGCAAGCCACAAGAAGGATGCAAAGCTCTCCAAAGAAACGGTCGCCGCATTGGAAGCTGACAAAGCGGAGAGGGCAAAACGTCCAAAATGGGTCATGGACGAGCCACCTGGATACGTTCGACGAGGCGACGACTATGCGAATAAAGACTCGAAATGTACGGCGGAGCTTATATTTAAGATGCCTCCACTTGGTGTACACTCGACACGAGGCGAAGATGATGCTCCCACTGTCACCGAAGGGCAAGTGGAGGCTTATATGAAACGTGCGAAGATGTTGGCACGTGACGTCGGAGTGGAGCCCTGGTCGACCAATTTTCTAGACAAATGTTTAGCACTCTTTACAAAGCACAACTACGATCCAGAGGCAGCGTTGAAACAAGTCAAGAAGCTCGACAGACGCAAGGACCTCAAGGAGCCTGAGCTGACTAAAGAAGAAGAGAAGAAGTGGAACGAGGGCGTTGCCAAGTACGGCTCAGAGATCCGAAGCGTTCGTCTACATGTCAAAACCATAACGCACTCCGACGCCGTTCGCTACTATTACATGTGGAAGAAAACGTCGAAAGGAAAAGAGATATGGGGCTCATACAGCAACCGAAAGGGCCGGAATAAAAAAGCCGCCGAGGCCGACGCTCAAACTCAAACGCGACTTGTTGACGATGTTGCTGACGATCACGATGATTCTGCGTTCGACAATGACAAGGCGATCCAACGCAAGCGTAGCTTTCAATGCAAGTTTTGCTCCACCCGGGCCTCGCGACAATGGCGCCGTGCGCCTGGTGTTGTCCCTGGACAAACAATACCCCCCGATGGGAGGTCTAAAGACAAAACGGGATTCATGGTCGCGCTCTGCCAACGTTGCGCAAACCTCTGGCGCAAATATGCTGTTAAATGGGAAAACACTGATGAAATAGCTAAAAAGGTGGCACAAGGTGGAGGGAAAGCATGGAAGCGGAGAATCGACGAAGAACTCCTGAGGGAAGTCTATGCTGCCACCGCCGAAGTTGGCTCGATGAATGGTACCCCGGAATACGTAGAGACGCCGCCAGCTATCGCGCAACAAGTTCTTGAGCCGCCAAAGAAAAAACAGAAAACTGCCGCAGCGACCGCATCCGCGCCTGGAGCAGATAGCGGAACGTCGACGCCTGTCGCAGAGCCTGTATCGAAAAAGAAGGAGAAGGAGAAAGTCGCGCCACCACCGAAAGCGCCCACACCTCCGCCGATCCCAGCTCAACCTAGGCTTAGGACTCTCGCCTGTACGGTTTGTCATTCAGCAGAAGGCACACGCTTGGAATGCGCTGCCTGCCGAATGACAGTACACAAAGCATGCTACGGTATTGATGAGGTTCGGCACCAAAAATGGTTCTGTGACACCTGCAAAAACGATAAGAAAGAGAGCGTGTCATATGTGAGTGATGACCTTTCTCCAGCGTTGATTGTAATACTAACTATTTCAGACGTACGAATGCGTACTCTGTCCGCACAAAGTCACAGAACAGGACCTCTATGAACCACCGAAGGTCTCACACAAGAAAAAGACTGATCGAGAGAGGGAGAAGGAGAGGCTGGAGAAGGAGCTTGTGGATAAAGCAAGAGAAGAGTATCGGCATAGGCAACAAGAGAAGGGCCGGCCGGTATTACCACGTGAACCTCTCAAAAGGACAGCTGACAATAACTGGGTTCATGTATATTGCGCGGTTTGGATTCCAGAAACGAAGTTCAGCAGTGCTAGTAGGCTTGACATGGTAGAAGGCATCGGGGCACCCACTCTTCGATACGATCCCGTGTGCAAGATTTGCAAGACCAACAAGGGTGCTTGTGTCTCATGCCACCAATGCCACGCTAATTTCCATGTTGGCTGTGCGCATAGTGCTGGCTACACCTTCGGATTCGATATTACCCCAGTAAAAGCCACAAGGCGAGATGCGGTACCTACTGTCACCATCAACGGAGAGACTGGGACAATGACGGCTGCGATCTGGTGTAAAGAGCATTCCACAAAGACAATTATTCATCCGATGAACGAGGAGGTAGAAGGGACGGAAATGATTGCCTTGCAGTTGTTCGCAAGGGAGTTTAAGCAAGCCGACCTTACACTTACTGGCACCGCTCGCAAGGCCAATCTTGTTGACCAGTCAACCCGGACTGTTCCGCAACCAGTGACATCGCAAAACAGCCGCCGAACGTCAACTGTTGTAAATCAAACTCCAACATCAGCCCGAGGGCGACATTCAAACGCAGGACTCGTTATCAAAGAAGAGGAATCAGCCGAATCAGCTGCTGCTAAGCCTGAGCGACAATGCGCCCGATGTAAGATTGATGCCAGTCCGCGATGGTGGAAGGTCGACGACTCTACAACCAGCTCGCAAGGTATCTCTCGGTGCGTAGACGGCCTTGCCACCACAAATGGTGTCGACAAGGGAGGTGTCTCCTCGGCAGAACAAACGCCACATCCTGAAGGCTCACAACCTCTTAACGGGACCATAGATCATAAGATGACTGATGCTCCGTCCATGGGCTCTCCAGAGCCGCCTCCAGGGTTACATGTGGATACGGATGTTTCAGTGGTTCGCTCGACATCATACCTATGCCAAAAATGTCACTGGAAGAAACTCAACGCACCGGAAGAGCCTCCAGAGCGTGAGAAGTCGCCATCAGTACACCCAGAACCACAACAGCTCCCGCTTCGATCACCTCCTGTCCAGGCCTATGTCCCACCGTCTTTGGGAGGCCCCTGGATGCCTGCACCTGGTCCTGGTCCAAATATACCGCCGCTGCAACACCAGCCAACCCCATTATCCACGTGGCATAGTGCCGGGCCTCCACCCCCTGGACCACCTCTGCACAACGGCATCAGTCACCCACCTCCAGGCCCTCCTATCGGACACCCTCCGCCGTTTCACTCATCGTACAATCCTGTGCATCAACCAAACGGTTATCCTCCGTATTCGGCACCCCAGGTCCATCCACAGATGCCGCCAGCTCCCCTTCGTGGTCCATTTCCACCGCCTACTAGTGGTCCACCTCCACCCCTACATCTTAACAACTCTGCCATGATTGTCAACGGCATGCACTCACCACGCATGCCTTACTCCCCGACACATCCGCACGGACCTTCTTCCTCCCGGTCAACAGAGAGTCCATTCACCGGACCACCGCAGATGGCGTACCCTCTACAACACGGTAGTCCAGCCCCTGGTCCTCCCTATAATAGGCCGTCCACGCCAAGAGATACGATGATGAGGGATGTTGCTGGTCCACTGCCTCCAGACACACGGGTTAGCACAGGAGCCAGTGCCAGCCCGTCGCTCCGGAATCTGTTACATTAGACTTTTCCTTTCTTGTTCCTGTCTATTCCATGTACTTTTTTTTTAAAGTCTTACCGCCTTGCATATAGGCAGGCACAGCACGTATATGAGTCTGCTTTTATCGTGATACTTGGGCTGATGAACAGGCCGGCAATTTTATACCACCGAGCATGACGAGCAAACCAGTGGTCGGAGATCGGTCAGTTGCACATGAGGTACGGAACCGGCGGTTAACCGTGGTCTGTTTCTGGATGGGACGGCACGCTGGGTCATTGGGCTGGATATGTCGGAGTTTTCATGGACACGATACCACAAACACTACACTTGTTTTCATAGCCATTTCATCTTACTCTGCTTTCTTTCGTGCATTGAGCCAAGGCAGAGGGGTATCCCTCCAAGTCGGGCCTGGCCAACTTGTATGTTTAGAACGATGGTGAGGGGAGTTGGTTGCTGAGGTGTTTTATGGGCAAAACGTCGACGCGCGTTTCGTTGGTGTTGTTCTGCCATAGCGGTGAACAAGTTGAGGAATCAGATAGGAGAATGATGGATGTCAAGTTGAGATCTTCGGGCGATTTAAGTGCCGTGAAACAGGAACAGTGAAGGAATCGTCGACGTATTGTGGGCCGCTTCTTTTGTTAGACCACAGCACAAGCAAAATTCTAGCATTCCTAGCTGTGCCATTAGGCGATAGGGCTTGCATTTGTTGTGTGATGGAATACATTTGGAGTGAATTGCTGTTGCTGCCGCGTCACTCGATGTACCTTCCCGCCGGTCTGGAACTGGGCCAGTGGGTAGTGGGCTAAGCTTTCCTACCCCTGCTTGCAGCCTTATGCAAGGGCACAACAACCGCACACCCTCGCCTCGCCTCGCCAAACTGTCCGAAAAAGCACCAACCTCATGAGCCGTGACCTGCCATTGCGCTCCAGCCACTTCATCTCTCCCCAATTGCTTCTTCCGCCTCGCCTGTCATCATCTTTTAAAACGCAGTCGTTATCGCGCTTGTCCAATCCTTTCGCATATCTTTTGATAATTGTTAATACCGCACGATAGTCCAGCCAATCCCCGTCCTCGAACATTATCTTGAAACTGCGTCTTCGACACTTGCGAAACGAGGACTGCACCATCCCGCGACAGAAGCGATCTCGGGATCTTGGGCATCCTTCTTCTTCGCTGCTCAGCCTCGGATCGGACTTGTCATGCTTTGACCGTCATTGACCGCCCCCCTTGGATTTACATAGTCTGTAACCCCCCGCTGCTGTGACTCGAGATTTCTTGGCTCGTTCAATATCCGCGCTCTGTGATCGCTACGCCAGACTGTTTACAGGTTCTGGTCTGACGTTTCCTATCGTTCATTTTTGTTGTTGAGTTTGTTGTAAAGAGTATTGCATTGTAATTATGGGCTTGGAGAAGAGATACTGTGTAGGATACGTGGATGGGACGGTAGAGTGCTTTCGGGATGGGTTTTGGTATTCCGAGGTATGTGATGAAGTTGGTGCTGTTTGATGATTGAGCGTGATTGCTGATGTGTGTTTGTAGAAAGGGGTAATAATCAAATGGTCGATACTGGCAGGTATCTTCTTCTTCTTCATGGCGTGGTTTGTTGGCGGATACATTCACGCAAAGCGTCGGATGCGAAAGGGGAAGCCGCTGATGGGATACCACCGCGTACGCGCCCTTCCCCTCCCCTAGGCCACTCTGAGCTGGGTCTGATGAAGGTGTGTCTTGCTAACAAGACAGCAGTGGCTTGTCCCTTACAGCGAGCGAAAGCGATTCGGCCAGACGCCGCAGAACCACTTCACATTCTACGCACCGCAGCAACCGTACGGACAACGACCGGATGGAACATACCCCGAGCCGCCACCCATGTATAATAATAACGACGCTCCACCAGGCTATATGCCTCCACCCGGCGCGACGAAGACGCATCCGGCCCAAAACTACGAGATGATGCCCGAATACGCCCCGCAACAGTATGGCAGCACAGGAGCATATCCAATGGGAGGACAGCAGAATGGTGTCGTGAGACCGCATGGAGACGTCGAGCAGCAGCATCAGAGTCCAGAGCTACCGCCCAGACCGCAGCAGGCGAAGCTCGCCGTTACAAACTTCATATCGAGATTCCGACGATAGGGTATCAAGGGTGGGTCGAGGGTTAGATCCGGCATCGCGTTGCGTTGTTTACAGGCAGTTGGGCGTGCAGGTTTTGGATTCAAAATGGGATTTCCGTGACTGGATCACGCATCACGAGGTAGTGTACTTGTATTATATATGCAATACCCAAGAATGGTTTCAATGCAACGTGGGATGCTATATTCTATTATGCAGGTATCCAAGGCTCGGAAGTCAATAATCATCGATGTCCATAGCATCAGGATCTTCAGCCTCCACGAACATGTCCTCCTGCACAGGCTTCTCATTTCCTACATTCCCTACAGTTACGCTGTTGGCATTGTTTACACGATCAGGCTCCTCAACGGTATTCACCTGCTTCTCCCTCACCCTTGCCCTCGCCTCGACGATAGCCTTCCGCACATTATCCTGCTTCTCCGGCACCGTCAGCGAGGACGGGACGCTGTACAGCACCAATTGATTATCCCTAGTTGGCCTTGGTTCTGGCCCGGTCAAAACATGCTTCGGGATCTTGGCGAGGTGTTTCTCGATATCGGACAAGAAGATGGGGTTCTCCTCATCCGACTCGATGTCGGAAAGCTCAGCGGCGAGATCATGGATGTAGACTCGGTGCGGGGTGTCCTCGACTTGCATGCAGTCGTCTGGAGGGGACGGGCGTGGTTTCCGGTGGTGTTTCTTTTGCGTCACGGGTGCCACGGGTTTCGGGGATGGTTTCGAAGACGGGGATGGGGTGTGCAGAGAGGCGGCAGAGGACGACCCGGGGACGGGGATGTACAGACGTGTGCCATTGCTGTCGACTGCGATGCTGTGAGCGGATGGTGTCTGCAGAGGGATGTCTGCGCACCGTGGAGTGTGCGTACCTAAGTTCAGAAGATCGAATCGCTTGCTCAGCCGCTGCTCATTTTCCAGCCCGTTCTCGGCTGCGCGTTTCTTGCCATGAGGGAGCGAAGGTGTATCGAGCTGGTGCTGATGGTGCTGGTGGTGTTGTTGCTCCTGTTGCTGCTGTTGTTGCTCCTGTTGCTGCTGTTGTTGTTGCTGCTGTTGGTGCTGCGGTTGTCGCGGTGAATGCTGATGCTGGGCTTGGCCTGTGGGAGCTACAACCTCCGCCATCCCCCATCCCACCGGAGCGCCGACGATCAATCAGTAGCAAAATTATCCAACCTTCAACCTAGCCCAGCGTCGTCCGACGATAAGCGCTTGTTTCCCTCTGCGACGGGAGTTGCTGTGCTTTGGGTGCGAGACGAGAGGTCTGAGTGCTTGATTACTTGATACCAGTGGGAGCCAATCGACGAAGGTTCGAGAAGAAGGAGGGGCACCCCCGATCGAGTTTCGTGAATGCAGCTCCTCCGCACCGCGACAACCCCTCTGAGTCACGGTCACGGCTACTGGCCAGCGACCCTGACAGTCAGACCCGCGACTGCTGCCACTACTGCCACTACTGCAACTATTCCTACTCCTACTACTACTCCTACTACTTCTTTTTCTCTAAACAGATATCGATACAGAGACCATCGTCGCCTTTTTCCCCGCTTCCCTACCAACACACGCCTCCTTGCCTTTTCGAGGATTCTTTCAACTCACCATTGGACTCCCCGAAGTGCGAGAGGCCTGCGCACAATGGCTTCGTCGTCGCTCATAGACGAGAAGCACGAGTGGAGTGCGCTCCGTGTGCGGAATACCTTCTTGGACTACTTCAAGGAGAGGGGCCATACTTTTGGTGTGTATCCTCAATTTCTCTCTCAACCCTCTTCTCGTCAATCCTCTCCCCGCCTTACCCATCATGACCCCCCTCCCCCAAATTGCAAGAGAACTGCAATTGGTACTGACTTGCGCAAGTCCCCTCCTCCTCTGTGGTCCCCCTCTCCGACCCCACCCTCCTGTTCACTAACGCCGGCATGAACCAATACAAGTCCATCTTCCTCGGCACCGTCGACCCCGCCTCCGACTTCGCCTCCCTCAAACGCGCCGTCAACTCTCAGAAGTGTATTCGCGCCGGCGGAAAACACAATGACCTCGATGATGTGGGCAAGGACAGCTACCACCACACCTTCTTCGAGATGCTGGGTAATTGGAGCTTCGGCGACTACTTCAAGCAAGAGGCCATTGGGTATAGTTGGGAGCTTCTGACCAAGGTTTTTGGCATCGACGAGAAGCGGCTGTATGTCACCTACTTTGAGGGTGCCGATGGCCTGGAGCCGGATTTGGAGGCGAAGGAATTGTGGACAAAGGCTGGTGTCCCTGAGGACCATATTCTGCCCGGGAACATGAAGGATAATTTCTGGGAGATGGGCGATCAGGGCCCCTGTGGTCCTTGCTCGGAAATCCACTACGATCTGCGAGATCCAGAGGGTGGGCAGTATAGGAATGCGGCGGGCCTGGTTAACATGGACGACCCAGAGGTCATTGAGATCTGGAATAATGTCTTCATTCAATATAATCGTGAACCGGATCGGTCGCTGCAACCGCTGCCGAATAAGCACGTGGATACGGGAATGGGCTTCGAGCGGTTGGTTTGCGCCCTGCAGAAGAAGAAGTCGAATTACGATACTGATGTTTTTACCCCGCTGTTCAAGAGGATACAAGAGATCACGGGAGCTAGAGATTACCGGGGCAAGTTTGGAAAGGACGATCCGGACGGCATTGATACCGCTTACCGAGTCGTTGCTGATCACGTTCGAACCCTTACTTTTGCTATTGCCGACGGTGGTGTCCCAAACAACGTCGGTCGAGGCTATGTTGTCCGTCGCGTGCTACGGCGAGGAGCCCGCTATGCGCGAAAGTACTTTGAGACAGATATCGGCGACTTCTTTTCCAAAATCGTCCCGAGTCTCGTCGAACAGATGGGTGCCATGTTCCCAGAGATTGCCAAGAAAGAAGGCGATATCAAGGAGATCCTTGACGAGGAGGAGAAGAGCTTTGCAAAGTCTCTAGATCGAGGGGAACAGATGTTCGAGAAATATGCCCAGAAGGCGAAGGTCAGGGGCTCGAATGATCTTCCTGGCGACGATGTCTGGCGGTTATACGATACCTACGGTTTCCCGGTTGATCTCACGAAGCTCATGGCAGAGGAGCGTGGTCTCAACATCAACGACAATGAAGTTGAAGAAGCGCAAGAGCGCGCTCGGGAGGCTAGTAAAGGCGATAAGAAAGCCACCGCTGCGCTCGTTAAACTCGATGTCCATGATCTCGGTGCGCTAGAAAACATGCCCGAAGTCCCGAAAACGGACGACTTGGCCAAGTATGGCCGGGAGAACATCACGTCTGTCATCAAAGCTATCTATCACGGCAAGAAGTTCCTCAAGAGCACGAAGGAAGTGCCCGAGGGCGAGCAATTTGGTGTTTTGCTTGATAGGACGAATTTCTATGCTGAGCAAGGTGGTCAGGAATTTGATACGGGACGCTTACTAGTGGATGATGTCGCAGAGATACGAGTGGAGAATGTGCAGGTTTACGCTGGGTATGTACTACATACGGGGTATATGAAGTATGGCGAACTCGATGTAGGGCATGAGGTTATCTGCGAGTATGATGAGGTTTGTATCCCCTCTCGACTCTCCTTCTCCCACCCCTATATATTCAACAATAAAAGTAACGAATTTACAGCTTCGTCGCCACCCAATCCGCAGCAACCACACCGGAACCCACATCCTCAACTACGCCCTCCGCGAAGTTCTCGGCAATGACGTTGACCAGAAAGGCTCTCTAGTCGCGCCCGAAAAACTCCGCTTCGACTTCAGCCACAAGTCCGCCGTCTCCGATGCCCAGCTCGACAAGATCGAGAAAATCTCCACCGACTATATCCGTCAGAACTCGGAGGTGTTTGCAAAAGACGTCCCGCTTGCAACCGCAAAAAATATCAAGGGTGTGCGCGCCGTCTTTGGCGAAACGTATCCGGATCCAGTCAGGGTCGTCAGTGTCGGCGTGTCGGTGGATGATCTCCTAGCCGACGTAATGAACGAAGGTTGGGAGAAAGTCTCCATCGAGTTCTGCGGTGGAACGCACGTCAAACAAACAGGCGAGATCAAAGAACTCGTCATCCTCGAAGAATCCGGCATCGCCAAAGGCATACGGCGAATCGTGGCCGTGACAGGGCAAGAAGCATACGATGTCCAACGCGAAGCCAATGATTTCTCAGAACTCCTCGAAAAGCTGGAAAAAATGCCATTCAGCCCCGCAAAAGAAGCCGAGGCAAAAAAGATGCAAATCCAGCTCAACCAGCTCACGATATCTGCGCTCACAAAATCCCGGTTTCGCGAAGTTTTTGCGAAGATCCAGAAGGGGATTTTGGATGAACAAAAGGCGGCCGCGAAGGCGGAGAATAAGAAGGTTATGGATGGAGTGAGCGAGTATTTTATGAGTAATAAGGAGGCGAGGGTGTTGGTGCAGAAGTTAGAGTGGAGTGGGAATGTGAATAAGGCGATTTCGGAGGTGATTAAGACGGTTAGTGGGGGGAAGGGGCAGTGGAAGGATAAGAGTGTTTATTTGGTCGCGGCGAGCGAGGGAGAGGGGAAGGTGGTGCACGGGTGTTATGTTGCTGAGGTATGTTTGCGCTTTCGTCCTCTGTCCCCATCCCTATCCGCTTGGCCGCGTTTTCCTGCTTTCCACCCTACCACGCTGTTAAATTAGAGGCTGACACCACCTGTGCAGCATTTCTCATCCCAAGGCGCATCGGGCCCCGAATGGGCCGGCCACGTTGCTAAAATCGTTGGGGGCAAAGCCGGTGGCAAACCAGGTGCTCCCACTGCGATTGGACAGGGTACGAATGCGACGAAGGTGGATGAGGGAGTTGAGGAGGCTAGGCGGTGGATTGAGAAGTTTAAGATGTAGGACTTCACTTCCTGCTTCTAATGTGAACCCTGTGGGTTGGAGTTAGGGATGGGTATGGGATGGATAAGTGAGCATGTGTGCGGATGGGCATTAGAGCTAGATGGGTGGACATCTTTTGGTGTTTCTCATGTCATCTTATGTTAGCAACTCAGCTCTTGGGAAGATCTTTGACGATGAGCTGAAGTAGTGTAGAACCTGTCTAAATAGACTTTATTGCTTTATCTACAATTCACACTCCCCCAATCCACATTTTAGTCCACCACACACGGGATGCAAGCAAAAGCCACAAGCAACGCCCACATATGCTTATAAGGCAAGGGTCCTTTGGCCTCTACACAGCTAACAACATCCAAAAGACTAGGTTAGTCATTTATCCTGTCGCGGGCGGACTGCTAGGGCAAAACAAAAGGGTATATGTGCGTCGCCTCGAATATTTAAAAGCCAGGCCAGCAACGACATTGAGTATTCAAGAGTCAGTTTATAGTATCCAGGCCGTGAGTGCGGGTTCCATTGTGGAAGATAGGGAAATCTACTTCCATTTTAATCTTAATTCATAAAGTGGAATTCAGAAAATATGTCCTAGGGAAGCCGCGGCGAGAGGCATACCCACTAAGGCTAGGGTTTTTGGAGGAAGATCTAGTGCTCCATCAACTGCCTTGTTAAGAGATTTTGTTTAACCCCTTAGTTGTTTTAGGGGAAGGTTTGGAATTCCATGATATCCCAGACTTTATTTTTGATCCTCTCTGCTGAGTCGGATGTATTCAGAGTAAGGTATCCTTGTCGCCGTGTCTCGCCAAGGGCTCTCGAATGGAACATTTGTATTGCCTTGAATTGTTTCAGTGTCTGGCAGTATCGATGGAGATCAGTGCCATACATGTCTCCTCTGGCAGGCTTTTGTCAGGATATGAAGATGTTCAAGGCAGTTTTTAAACTCACGGTTTGTTGGGATGTAAGAGAAGCCGTGGCTTTTTGCTCCCTCATGAAGTGTTTAGCCATCAACCGTTTGCAGGAGATTGCTCTATACAATCGGCCTTCAACCTAGGCCATGGAGTCAAAACTAGAAGAGCTTTTCGCCCGTATAACCGCCCATGCATGTCTCGGGAAATATCCTAGGTATGTTTCCTCCAAACTCAGATTGTTGAATACCTCCTAGCGTCTGGGTCTGCTGGTCAGGATGCTTTCGCCCAATCCTACCCTTATACGCATGCAGAGATTAAGTGCCTTTTTTGCCTTTGAATTTAAAATGCAATTAAGAACGTTTCTTTAGAGTTGGGCTTGCAGAACATTGGCCCTGTGTCTGACCCGGCGGAAGTGTATGTTTAGTCTTCTCCCACCGGACTTGAGGCCCATTTTCTTCAGCCCATGCAGTGGGTAAGTCAAGCTTGCTAAACTTCGCAATCCGATCCTCTGCCCCACCGAGATGAAGCAGCTCGATGGCCTCCGGGTTCAGGATTGAGGACATATCCAAGGATGCTGAAGGAAAGTCAGGACATATGCCGTAATTAGGAGACGATTCCTAGAAAATAGTACATACCTTGACTATGATGTCCAGGGTCGAAGTCAAGGGCGAAGAAGAAAGCATCCTCATCCTCGCCCTCATCATCTGCCAAGTAGCGATTGTAGTTCGAGTACGCGCCAGTGCCGAAGAGAAAGGTGCCATTGAGGATGATATTTGCTAGCGTGTTCTTGAGGATGTGCAAGTCCAGCTGGTAGCGCTGACCACCAGTTCCTCCTCGCCCGAATTCCCATTCCACATCATATGCTATCCCAGATGTCCACGCACTTGACATGTCAGCGAACCTAAGTTTCATACAACACTTGCTGCCAGTACGGATAGGTAGACTAATACTCTGAGCGTAGTCTTCATCACTAGTGTATTCTCTCCGGAATCTGTTAGTGCATCCTGTCCAATCCCGTTGATGCGGCCTTCAAACCTAGGCGCGGAATCCCCCAAGTACAAAAGGTTATGTTGCAGAATTCCATCCATGAAGCGCTCCTTGACTTAGCGGGCTTTGTTGACAACATTTGTAAAAGAGCTTGTAGTTTTAAGGAATGCTTTACCTAAGATTACATTATGGATGCAGCCTGAGAGAAGGTGAAAGACAAGAGGGTGGGTCTCGTTCTCATCCCTGAACCCGAAGTATACTTCGGCAGTTCCTACAGTCTCAATCCTTTTTCTGCTTCCGATCCGAGCTTTGAGTATCTTTTAGCGACAGACCTTTAGACCTAGCCGTGCTGCGTACTCTTCTTTCATAAAGTTGTGTTTTCACAGTAGTCTCCAAGAGCATTGGTCAACTGACCGCGTGCCAGATATCCTGGAATCTTAAAAGTCCGCGAACCTTTAACTTCAGAGTTATGAATTGGGTGGTTAGCGGGTACCGGTTCCCAGTAGAGCAAGTTAACAGCCCTAAAAAGGGACAGGTTTGTGGTGGTGGTGGTGGGGACAGGATTGAAGGTGAAGCCTCATGCGTATTGTGAGGTTTTCGTCAGATTTTGGATCTTGGAGGGTTGTTGTGCCGTGTTAGTTATAGAGAGGCTGGCGAACCTTGGAAGGCAGAGGCTCAAGATTCTACTGGTGAGCTTCAGGGATACAAGTCCCCCGTACAAGTCGGCGGACCATGTGGGTGCCCTTTATCGTGTAAAACTCATGGTGCACATTTCGTGCCAGCCACAAGGCTGATTTAACTTCCTTTTCCTCTTCACTACCTGGGGGCCTCAGCTTTTCTGTCGATTGCATTCAATGCGCACGGCTAAAGAAAATGTGACCCGTAGCCCTTAGCCAACAACCCAAGCCTTCACCTCTTACTCTATCGCCTTTTCGACAAAGACATGTCATCATTTTCAAAATTGGACTTGGACGACTTTGCGACGGATACCCTGCTCTTTCCGCTCGGGCAGCTCGAGATCCAGATAATGAGGCTTTCATCTTTCGCTAGTTCGACCGGCTAGGAACCCGCAACACCCTACACCTCCAAAGCCGACTCATCGCGCTCGAAAATGAAATAGATCAGCTAGGTGAAGATGCCAGGAGAAGCAAGGACTCTGAACCCTTACAATGGTCGCGATGATCAGAGACGCCCATGAAGCATGCGGATGATCCAACCGGCATGAGACAATGCGAGGAGAGAATCCAGATGAACTTCGCCGGTTGCTAAAAGAGTATTGTACGACTAGTCGTTAAAAGTTACGTAAACGAGTTTCCAATTAGCCAACGTGGATAAAACTCTCCTCCTGCAAGCCCAGACTGCAGATTTTAAAGTGCTTAATCAAATTCCCGCATAATCTCAGCTTTTTCCCGACTATCTTGAAGGCCATTCTTTCAAGGGCGACGGGATGGATTCGATGCCAATCACCAGGGGCCGTGCCAAAGATTTCCTAGCCGAGGAATCCGACCTCGTTGCTTTATGCCAACTAGCTGAAGAGGACTACTTCTCTAAATGCTAGCAAAATCACTGGGGGCTTCAAAAACGCAAGACGAGCGACCGTTAGACCGTATCACAATCTACAAGAACATCACGTTGTGAGAACGGTAGTAGTGGGACTCTAGCTGCTATCCTCCTTATAAGCGCTATTATTAGCCTTTATGTTGTTAACAGCCCCTAGGCTAAGCTATGATTAATAGCTATGTATACTCTGCTTTTCGCCTTTAGTATTGCGCTATTAGCAGATACGCGGAGAGGAGAAGTTTTTACCGCAACCGCAGCATGTGGTAGTCTTAGTAGTATTCATCTCGGGGTGATTTGGGTGGATCTGGAAAGGGTGATTATTTGATCTAGTTGGATAATGAGTATTCTAAGACTGTTAGATGCCCGAGGTGAAGGGGCCATAGAGTCACGGAACCGAGATCAAATGATGAAAAGAGGGAACTCAGGGTTATAGAAGAAGGTCATTCATTCCACTCCGCCGTCGTACTCGTTCATGCCACTAAACGAGAACACGGAAAGAGTTAAACGAGTAGACCAAGAGCAGGTTACGAACTATGGTTCGTTTTCTCCGAGAAATAGAGATTGAAAAGATAGGAGATCACGCTACTCTTAGAAGAGGGACAAGATTGAATGGTTCTGCTCCATCAGGCATTCGAGCGCATTTTCGAGAAACGGAGAACTAGGTGTGATAGACTGAGGAATTTGTGCGAGACTTACGAGACCAAGGTCCACAAATTTTCAAGGTCGGACACCCTTCTTTTCAGTCCGGTTGAAACTCCCAAGTACTCTAAGCTCTCAGCATAAGGACCAATGGAAGAACTTGTCGGCGATACACTGCAATTCTCTTCCTAAAGGGGACTAAGCGCATTTTCATTACTAGAAATTCCGTTCCACTAGCGCCTAGTGACTATTCATCGGGTTGGACTTAGAAGACTCGCGAATAGAGCGTAGTGGGGCTTGAGCTAGCTATAGAGAGATTGGACTACGTATTTTGTTACCACAAGCCTCAAAAAACTGGTTACAAACCCAAAGCATGTAGATTGGTTGTGGTACGCTTCAAGATGGCGACTTAAGGTTGCAAAAAATATGGATTAGAGGTGAGTGATTTGAATCCTGTGACGAGGGACGAAGTTGACAGTGGAGGAAAGTAAAACATGTTAGGAGTGGGTTTTATATCCCCAGTGGTACGGAGGCAGTGAGTTGAGCTCACGAGACTGCGAAGCATGCACTAACAGGATGGGGTCAGCATCCGAGCTACATTTGCCGTCGTACCTTACATCTCAGGTCATTTGAACATTCGCATTGAATGTGATAACAGCCTTAGTATTTCATAGCTTTAGTCCATTTACCCTCCACACTTCTAAGCCATTTCATTTTTAAAACGCCCTTCAGTCTCCCTTCCCAAGTCACACAATATTCTTCTCCAACCATTCCTCCCACTGCTCCTTCGTCCAACCCGAACTGATATCCCCAGCAACAACCCCATCAAACACCACAGTCGGCGTCACATGGACCCCTACAAGTCTATTCATCTTCACCATAACCTTGACGTCATTCGTAACTCCATTCCCGGTATTCATAGCCCCATCCTCCCCAGGCTTATCACTAATCTCCAGCAACTCGTAAAGCCCCTTCTCATCCACGCCCACACTTCCCGCAATCTTCGCTAAACGCTTGTACGTGTTATTCCTCGTCTCATTCACAACATTAACATCAAAGAAGTCTTTTTGCTGCTCGAACAGCTTCGTTGAGAAATCTAGGAATTTGTTAGGGGCAAGTTTGAGCACCGCGACCCCTGCTTCGTGGGTTAGAGTAGAGGACGGATGCCAGGGTTGGATTTGTTGCCGGAATATTGTGACAACTTGAGAGCCATATTTTTGTGTGAGGGTGTCGCGGAGGGGGCTCGTATACACGGTTTTAAACATTTTGGCGCTGAAGGGGCAGACATAGTCGAGGTCTGGATTCTGGCATTAGTGTTGATAGTAGGAGCAACGGGGAAGGAGAGGTACAAAGCTCGAGGGTGTGTACGGCGGCGGGTTGGATGGCACTCGATGCCAGTTTTTGGCCTGCGAATTTCGGCGGAAGAGCCATCTTGGTGTTGTTAGGGAAAGGGTCTGAAGCTTAAGGAAGCTCAGGAAAGCTCGAATGTGTGGTCTTTAATGTTGAAAATTGCTCCAAGTGTAGGTCGAAGAAGGGAGTACCACTACAAGCTATATATATAGCTCCAGAAATGGTTGATAGAAGGTAAATATTCAGGCCCTGAAGTTGAGTTGAGCCGGGATTGGATGACGACAGCGGGGTTGATGCACCCCTCCACACATTGATTCCTCAACATCACACATGCATATCTCATCCCCCACTCGCGAGGATCTTTTTGGCTGGGCAAGATGTCTAATTACTAAACTTATTGCACAAAAATTGTGTGGAGGGTGATTTGAACTACATTTGATATCTACCTGGGTTACAGGACAAAGTGAAGAGTGGTGTATCTGTATTACAACCGACCTAACCACCTCTGCTCCACCCAATCTCCTAAAACTCCATCAAAGAAAATGCAAGTCAAATTTCCATTCCTTGCTCTGCCGATGCATTATAGAAGAAAAAGCGAAATGCAGACCGTAGATAGACATCCAGAACCAATAAGCCCTATGTGACATCCAACCTAGCAGCTGCTATGTGACCATGATTCTACTCACCAAAACGCCGTTCCAAAGAAACTGTAGGGGGATGAAAGTCAACTAGGGATGCTGAAGATATGTGTTGGCGTGATATCCACCGTAGGTTCTATATCCGTTGTGCATCAAATTTCCATATCTTCATCCTCATCCTCATTCTTGGGATACTCCCGGGTATGGATTAACCTCCACTCCTTTTTCTTGGCGTCGACATCATCAATCTTCATGTCCTTCCATCCGATATTGTTGTTGACCAGCTTCTCCTTCGCGAGATCGCCTCTCGACAACCTAAAGCGATTGTATTCATCGATCGGTTTGGGTACATCTTCGCTAACACCAGATCGAACGGCATCCTTTTGAACGAAATACTGGCCCCCTTTGGCGTCATCACCTGTCTCGAACTTCATAGTATATGCCGCTGGGCTGATCGAGACTTTGACCTTGTCCTCCAGTATGGCAAGGGTGCTGAAGCGTTCATCCTCAGCTTCTTCGTTCCTGGTTAGGTGTCGGTTCCTAAGATATGGTAGTCTGACGCGGCTAACGTCGACTTCTTCGGTGGGTTCAACGGCCATGTAGGCGGCGACGTAGCCTCGCCAACGTTTGACGCGGTCTTGGGTGCGAAAATCAAACGTAGGATCATCCTTCTTGAACAGGCGGACGTAGGCTTGCCCCTTGAAAGGATCCTGTAATAAAGGGTCAGACGCTTGTGGGAAGATTGGTTGGAGGTGTGGACTTACGTAGGCGATCTTGTAGGTATCGGCATCCTTTGCGTGTCTCTCCACTGCTTGCCGGTAAGTAATCTCTGCCTTGTGAGTGGTGCTCTCATTCACTCGGTCCTTTTTGAAGAGATTGTAGATTTCGTTGGTCTTCTCTTTGTTGTCGTTGGTGGTGATCAAAACAACAAATCGCACAACCGCAGAGAGAAGCCTGTCAAACGTGTATAATTGCCATCCCACTTGCAAGTAGTATCGTCGGAGGGTTTCTTCGATGTGACCCAAGTCCACCTCTCCCATCAATTGATCTTGGAACATCTCGAGAACTTGCTGGTAGTAGTTGGCGGATTCAGAGGTGTCCTTGAAGAAATCGGAGGGAACCTTGTCGATCATCTTAAGTTCATGCGCAGGTTTGTGCTCTTTGGCCCGTGCTACAGTTTCGCGCACGTGGCTTTCATATTCCTTGAGCTTTAACAATCTCTCGTAGAGGACTACGAATGAGCGGAACATGCAGTAAAGAGGCGCGTTGGCATACATGTTGTAGACGCTGCGTCGATACGGCTCCTCTGGCTCGAATTCGCAGTCTTCATAAAGCGTTGGTTGGTCAGCATACTCAACCCATTGCGAAGAGGCCCGTTCGCCCTTCAAAACCAGCCTGGAATTGTCTGTCATTGGTTCGTCCTCAACTGCAGAAGTAACATCTGGGGTGCTGTCTCGGCTTCCAGATGCAACACTGTCTTCCTTGTCCTTTCGTGACTTGCCGCGAGGATCAAGAACGCCACGACGAAGATCGCCCTTCTTGAGCTTCTGCGACTTGTGAGAGTGGTCTCCATCTGGACTAGGAGTGTCTTCAGCGGACTCATTAGCGGAAGACTCATGGCCAAAGCTTTGCATCTTCTGCTCGAATTTGGTAGCGTCGATGCCGAAGAAGAGCGGGACAAATTCTTTGATGAACGCGAGGACCCGGATCAGATCAATGTTATTAGTGTTCTCCGCGCTTGCGATGACAAGTCGGGTAGCGTCATACAGGACGTCTTCATCCTTGAAGGAGAACTCGAACAGCCACTCAGGTTGGGGTTCCTCGTTGATTTCGGACTTGCGCTTCATCTCCTCGTAGCGAACCTGAATCTCGTTCTGAAGGGATCTCTGCTGGAATTGTCTTTTGTCCGCCTGCTTGGTGAGCAAGCTCTGGTGGTCGAGTGACTTCCAGAATATCTTCTGGGTTTGCTCGCGCCAAACTTTCTCCCACTCACGCTGAGCGGCTTTCCATTCTTCAAGCCTTGACTTCAGGCGATTGAGCAAGACAGGAATGACATTCCATGGCATCTGGAAAAGCTCAGTGATGACGTCTCGGCCCTTCTCGCGACCGTAGATCTTCATGATGACACGCTTGTAGATGGTTTCGCTCTGTCCGCCGAGGGCTGGTGGAAGCTGGAAATTGACTCTGTCCTCGCTTTTCATCGTGAGAAGCTGGCCCGCGATGGGCTCAAGCTGTTGAATGGTACGAGTGCATGCCTCAATGTTAAAGTCATAGTCGTGTCGTTCCTCTTCAATACGATGAAGCCCTTCTTCATATTGATTCTTGCGATGCGCGACGAAGCCGGAGTCCTCTGAAGCCCACGTTGGGTGAGAGGCCCACTCATCATTCAAGACAGAGCGACAGAGTTCGTCGCGTCCACTACATTGACGCTCTCGTTCCTGTTTTTCTCTGTAAGGCATGGTTCTAGGTTATGGGAGACGAAAGAGGGTACTTACGCGCTTTGGTAGCAAACGGTAGCTCGGGCCAAGGCTCCGACAGTTGGACAGTGAAACACGTGAATTCACAGTCTTGGGCCGAATGTGACAGGATTGTTCCTCGCCATCACCCAGGAACTTCTTGAACCAAGTGTACAATTCTAGATTGCCTCCAATATACGACTGCGCACGATAGACTAACAACTGTCTATCGATCAGATCTTGCGAGAATAAATTGCACAGCTTGAGAAACTCATTCATGGTGCTCTTGTTTCCAATGTACTTCTTGACGCGGTCGAAGAAAGCAAGCTCGTCTTGGTTTGGCGTGGTCGTAGTCGTTGGTGGAAGAGGTCCTGGTAAGGCTGGGGTAAGAGTTGGTGACACTGGGGGACCTTCCGGCACTAAGGGCTGCCTAGAAGCATGGCCAGTTTTTGCGCGCTTGGGTGAGTTAGCACGGTTATTCTGATCCTTTCTCTTCAGCTGGGCCGGGTCTTCCCCGTCTGACGAGTGGAGAGCTGGCGTTGAGCTGGGAGGAGACGTGGAACAAAGGGCAGATATTTTGCGTGAAGATTGTGAAGTGCTAGGGTTTAAGGAAAGCAGAGAAGAGGGACAAGGGGACGAGGATGCCGCAAGGCGGGTGCTCCTGTGTAGAGCCATGGCGAAGGTAGATGAGGACAGAGACAATGTTGGAAGGGAAACGAGAGGAAAGTACTGAGTCGAAAATGCAAATCGGAGCGTGGAAGAAAGTTGAAGGTGGCGGAACAGGGATGGAATAGAGAGTGAAGAGTACAAGTGAAGGTGAATGTCAAAGAAGGTCTGTGCACGACCTCGAATGTGCTTCATAACAAGCAATACTAATATGAACAACGGCAAGTGAGGCAAAAGAAAATTCAAGTTACGTACCTTATTAATATTGCCCTGGCCGTAAGTACTTCTCATACTGGAGTTGGAAACGTCTTGCGTCATAGGTGTTGGCATGGCAGCTGTTGCAGCAACGGCACTTTGCCTTTCACCACGCTTTCGCTTGTTGTCACGATTTGCGGTCGGAGTAGGCGCAAAGTTGCCCATTGGGGGTAGTCGGGAGGCGTCTGCCCGTGGAGTCTGCTGGTGGTTCGGTGCTTGATTGTATGCCGGCTCACGCACGCTGTTCAACATCACAGCATCCTCTGTAGAATGCCTTGCAGCTTGTTGCTGAGCTCTATGCTGGGCAGCTGACTCAGGGAGAAATTGCTTGAAGTCCTCCAAGAGATCAGGAGCAGAGTTAAACAAGCTGGTGACCTGAGCATAGACATCCTGGATAGGTTTGGACTCTCGCTGATATGTCTGCAAGATCTCCAAGAACTGCTTATAAATATCAGGCTGAGATGAAAACCGATTCTAACATGTAAAGGTAAGCGAGGCGTCAAGTAAAAGTCTCAGTATATGTGAACTCACCTTGATCTTGTTCACATAACTAATGGCATGATTGAATTCAACCGGTCCGCGTTTCTCAGCGCCCATACCACCTACTTGAGCGACCTGGCTTGCTCCATTTATAGCCTGACCTGGAAGAGGCGTCGAATTATCACCACTAGGAGAGAGTACAGACCGCCCAGTAGCTGCAGACACTGCATTTTGAAGCTGCGAGACACCCCTCTGTTCTTGCTGATGAGCTAGGACAGCGGCAGAAGAAGCCGAATCCGGATGTGGGCGATTTGAGAGCTCCGGAGAGACAGGGACCTGGGCTGGCGGTCCAAACAGTGGCTGACCAAGGCCACGACTATTAGGGGAGAACATTGCTTCCTGGGCTTCGGGAGGCTGATTCCTCGTTTGCTGTTGCCAGTGCCGATTTTGAGCTGGCTCATAGTAAGGACTTTCGTTCAAAGGCGCAGCATTCCCATTGACTGCCGTACTTCGAGGAGGTGAGAATGGCCTTGGAACGGGCATGGTGGAGATACTTGAGCCCATGGGTGTTGTAACTCGAATAGCATTTGGATCTCCGCCCGTACCGCATTCGATCTTGTATCCGGGAGGTAAGAATGTATTGAAGCCCTGGATCAAATTCGGGTTTCCGGTGAAGAGCATTGAGACTCTCTCGATGACACCGGGAGTATCAATTGCGCTGCTCTTGAAATCTTTCATGATGTCTAAGAATCGATTGTACACATCGGGGTGATCAGCGAACTGAACTTTAACCTGGTCCAGATAGCTTAGCGCATCCTAATGAAAGGAATTAGTATCGACGAGCTATGATGGTGATCATCAACACTTACATTAAGAATTGGCTGTTGCCCTTGACCCATTCCCATAGGGCCTTGAGGTCCGCCAAAAGGCATTAGCATCGATGGTTGCGGTGGTTGCTGAACAGCATGTTGCATCCTAGGCGTGGTATCGCCTTGCGGGACTGGGGGATTACCGAACATGCCGGCTGGCGCATTTGGCCCGCTCGCCGGTCCCGCGTTGATGTTTGGACCACCCATCGGCCCGGCTTGTCCAAGAAGACCATTAGGGCCATGAATCGTCCTCGTAGAAGGGACTACTGCTACAGGCTGGTGAATCTGGATGGGGCCTGAATGGTTCTCGTGAGCTGCCTGTTCGTGCTGTTGCCGTTCACGCAACTCCCTATCTCGCTGTTCTGCTTCCCTCTTCACCATCTCCTCTTGTTGTGCAGCATGCGATTCCAACATCTCTCTTTCTCTTGTTTCCCGTTCACGAAGCTCTCGCTCTCTATCAAGGTTTATTTGATTAGAGGCTTGCATTGGTGGTTGCTGTTGTAGCGTCTGCGAGATGCCCGGTAGGGAGTACGGAGGTCCTTGTGGATTTCCTTGAAGACTTGGTGCGTTGGGTCCTGACTCTGAAGAAGGTGGTCTTTGCGTGGATTGATGCGGGGACGAGTGGGGAGGGGGTCCCGTGAGACCAGCGAGAGCTGGGAGATTTTGATTATGGGCAGACGGGCCTGAATTTGAAGAGTAGAATGGTGCTCCTATAAGAGAGAAATTAGCTTTAAAACACCGGAGTCTGTCACGCTTCTACATACCAGATGGTGGTGGGAGAACAGGGCCTGTGCCTTGCGCTGGCGATGCATGTGAAACTTGTTGCTGGGCAACATTGCTCGACCTGTGATCATATCTACCGTCAGCCTGTAACCAGTCGATCGGTGGAGTGTGTACAAGCTTGGTAGCAGCGTGGTCCATGGTGACTATGCTGCGAGCAGGAAGAGAAGAGTGAAGGAAAAGTTCATACCCGAACGCGCCGAGAGGTCGCGGCGCTTGTCCCTGGCCTGATTCCGTTTGTTGCTGGCCCGATCCAGAAACCGATGCCTGCGGCGGCCACCCGTCGCGATGCGCTGGATTCATCTCGGCTTTAAAGCGATTCGTCGGCCGTAAGGATAGCTGCGACAACCGAAAGGTAAACGCGTTATGATGTGTAGAGTGGTCCCGGAGCTCGAGCTAGCTCATGTAGAGCTGTGCTGGGAGCGATGGGAGGGTGTGAGGTGGACGATGTGGATCCTGGGGTTAACAGCAGCTGCCGCTCTTGTCGGATTAGGAGGGACAGGGCCAGCTGTGGAGCTGGCACCGTCAGTGGCGTTGCGGAAGAGCAACAGGGAAGGAGGAATTTACGCAAGTGTGTATGCAACGTCGCGAGGGATGCGGCCGTTGCACTCTTCGTTTCGTGCGCGTAGTGAATCACTGAGTGATGATGGAGTGAAAGTTGGGGCAGCTGCTCTGTCCACGAAAACGGGTAAACTTCGGCCGGCGATTGTTGTTCCGCTCCCCGCGACCTGTGCTTCATGCAGGGGTTCTGATGTGATCGTGTGAAGCGCATCTTTACCCTTGAAGAGCATCGAAATCTCACTTGCTGACGTACTCGTACGTCCCGTGCTTCTGTATTAGTTACGTGCTTGTCGTCCTGGCACGTTAAATCGGACGTTGGTAGCTTTCGTTTGGCCTTTGCCTTTCATCTCACCTCTCTTTTGATTGCATGACGATACCTGGATACACAGAATGGATGCCCCGTGTCGTAGAACAACTGCAGAAGAATCCTATGAGATCTGACGATAAATCTAGCAACAAGTTTGCGGTATCCCTTTGGCCCTAGATGGTATATGCCAACACGCCATTTCAATTCAGTCTATGTGGACTTGATCGCATGAGACCAGATTTCGGTATTCTACTCTTTCATTTTTGGCTCGCTTCGATTAGGGTTGCAACCGCTTTCCCGATCTCCCAAGTCTAACAAACCGACCAAACTGCTATATCTCACCTCATATCTCATATCACCCCAAATCCTGGCGCATGAGGCGAGTACGGAAAAGCGGACAGACATCCCACCCGCTATCGCAACCGAAGCCTAACCTCAATACTCGAGGGCCCACTTCACCTCACAATCGCAATACTCACCTGACGCCATGGGAACAGTGTTTGGCACTGTATTTCACCCATTTCAAGGTTCCGTTCGTTGCAACATCTTGGCATCACGCAGTCAAAACACATAAACTTCAAATATTGGATTGGATTGTATGTGATCCTTGCTACGAAAAATTACCCTGCCGGCATGCTGCCGAGGCAGACAAACATGCACTCTAAGCCCAGGGAGCGGATTACGACAACCTTTCATACTCGGAAACTCCTGGACTCCGCACGCCCGCAACCAAAGAAATCCCGAGATTCAGATACTGGAAACGGCTGCGGTCCTGTATGTCTCACTTTATAGAGCGTGCATGCTTAGAAGATCCACTGGAAAGACTCCTTAACCTCAAAACTGACTTTCGACCTGCACCATTATTAGTTTCTGCTGTTTTGCACATAGGTTTGATGGTATACCTGATATCCGCGCTCGAAGAACCGATCAGCACGTCGAAAACACCCTCCTCTGCAATCCAGGCCCCTGTTTGCCCCAGGCTCGTATCATAGTACCCTACAGAGTACTTATTCAACTTCAAATCTACCGCCTTAGTCTCTCCAGGTTGTAGGAACACCTTCCCAAATGCCTGCAACTCTTTCTTAGGTCGTGGAAGCGTTGACTTGATGTCCTTAACATAAGCTTGCACGATCTCGTGGGCAGTGACTGAACCTGTATTTGTAACTGGCACTGTGATCGTAATGTCCGATGACTCTGTGAGGACGGTGCTAGTGATTGTTGGGCTGCCATATTGGAAAGTTGTGTAGGTGAGGCCATGCCCGAAAGGGAAGAGAGGTGCAATCTTGGAGCGCTCATAGTGTCGATAACCGACGTAGATTCCTTCTCCGTACACCGTCTTCAGGTTCTCGCCCGGCCAGTTGTGGTATGCCGGGTTATCTTCAAGTCTCTTCGGAAAGGTTGTGGGGAGTTTCCCACTAGGACTCTGGTTGCCAAAGAGTACGTCCGCCAGAGCGTTGCCGGCTTCTTGGCCTTGGTACCACGCTTGCAGAATGGCAGGCGCTTGATCTACCCAGGGCATGGTGACCGGTGTACCAGACTGGTTAACAACCACGGTGCGAGAATTGGCAGCAAGTACGGTTTCGATTAGGCGGTCTTGGGAACCATTTTTAGGCAGGTCCATAGTTTGCCTGTCGTACCCTTCTGACTCCCACTCCGCATCGAGACCCACTACCAGAACAGCAACGTCAGCCTCCCTTGCTGCGTTGGCAGCTTCTTGCAGCCTATCAACCTGGTCTTCTTCTTGATAACCAATCCGGCAGCCACCGTAGTCATACCGACGGCCGAGAACTGAGACTTTCGATGCCGGCCGGACTTCACTGGTGCTCTCAACCAGAAGTTCCACAGGCTTTCCCTCCTCAAGGTAGATCGACTTCAGAACATCCTCGGAAGCGGAGAACATAGCCTCGCCCTCTTCAGTCCAGTCCCATATGTCAATGAAGAGCTCTCCGTTTAAGAAAAGTCTGCCAGGTCCAACGGATGCGAAGCTGAACATGTGGTTCCCACTCGACTTCGGGGTAATGGTGCTCTTGACCTTGAATGAAAAATCCGGAAGCACTTCTTTTGGTGCGGAGTCCCATAGCCAGAGATCTGTGCCAACTTTGTGCTGAACCACAGCTGGCTCGCCTTTGAACCTATCTCCACAGTAGTACTCTAACCGCACGCCTTGCTGACCATCCGGTGCTGTGCAGTAAGGAGAAGCAAGCGGTAACCACTTTGCGCTATCGCATCCCTGAGCGAAGGTGATTTCTCCATCAAATCGAGAACGAATGCCATCCCATGGCGTGGTGGTGTAGTACGGGTTAAGTCCAGCACTTCCTCCACCTCCAGCAATCGCTCGTTTAACATTCGGCCCAATCAATGCAATTTTCTTCACGTCACGAATCGGCAGGACGTTGTTCTCGTTCTTTAGTAGCGTAAGCCCTTCAATTCCGGCCTGGAGAATTAGGTTGCTAGTTTCGGAGTTGTTGTTGGAGCGCTCCGGCGGCTCTGGAGGCCCATTCAAGCCTTTCGTGCGGTCAACGAGGTACAAAACATTGCCGGCTGCTCGCTCGATGTCGTCACGCACAATCTCTCCTTTTTCAAGAGATTCCAGAACTTGATCAAGCTTTCGCCATTTGGAGGGTCCGGGCATTTCGATGTCACAGCCTGCTCGGATTGAAGGACCAGTGGCATAAGTCCCAGTCCAGTCAGAAATGACAGCTCTGCAAAAGTCAGCAAAGCACTCAAGGCCGGGATTTGCCAGGTTTAGGGGGGACTCTCCCCCTATTTAAAGAACTTCAGCGTGAAACTTACCCATCCCAGCCCCACTCGCCTCGTAAAATTTCTTTGAGTGAGTGCTCATACTCATCAGCGTGGACACCATTTACCATGTTGTATGAGGACATAAGAGCCCATGGCGAAGCATCACGAACCGCAATTTCGAAAGGCTTGAGGTAGATTTCCCTGAGTGGTCGCTCAGCAATAATCGCATCGTAGGCCTGGCGCTCAGTCTCCTGCTCGTTTCCGAGGAAGTGCTTGATCGTTGCGGCAATGCCTTTGCTCTGGAGCCCACGGATATAAGAAGCAGCCAACTTTCCAGTAAGGAATGGGTCTTCAGAATACGATTCGAAGTTTCGTCCACCGAGAGGGGAGCGATGCATGCAGACAGTAGGAGCGAGGAGAACATTGGCGCCACGAGCTTTCGTCTCATCACCAAGATGTCGCCCAATTTCCTCAATTAGGTCCAAGTTCCATGTTGAAGCCATTGAGATACCACAAGGAAACAGTGCAGCCTGAATAACATTAACTCCGCATGCACATAAACGTGCCAAGACCTTGGACTTACAGGTGTGCCATTTGTGAAGAATTCCCCTCGAGCACCATTTGGCCCATCCGTAGTCTTGATTGATGGGATACCCTTATCCGGAATGGGCATTGTCCGCCAGAAGTCTGCTCCCGCGAGTAGGGATATCTGTGCAAGTCAGTTTACCCATCTACAATATCCTAATGATGTATTTGCACATGTTTGTGAAAATAGTTATGTGTATATCTAGAATGGGAGAAGAAAGAGGCCCTTTTTGTTGATTTGAAAAAAAAAGAGGAAATCGAACATGATTGAGAGGTATACGGTTTCATCTTGGTGCCAGCATCGGATAAAAAGACAACTTTGACAGAACTTTCGTTGAAGGAAATATTCGGAAGGCGAGAATACAAAGCTGGTTCAGATAACATGTTCTTACAAAGGCATTGTATGCTCGAATTTAGGGATTTTCCCAGAGCTCGTATCTATGGATGGTGGGGTAAGCTTATTGAACAACAAAGTGAGGCGTACCTGTTCCTCCAACGTTAACTTGGCGGCCAACTCGCGAGCCCTGTCATCCGGCCTCTCAAGTGTGAAGATCTTCTTCCCGGCCATGTCGTCGATATCGTCAAATGGTTTCTCTTCTGGCGTGCGGGCAGGCGTGATGGTAGTAGGGGTGACAACAGGCTGCACTGAGATGGCTGCCTCTTTTATATCGATCTGTTTGATCTCGCCCTCCTCTATCGGACTAGGGTTGCCAAGGATGATATCGCCCATGATCTATCAGAATCGATTAAATTTCAGCAGTCGGAGTGTCTGGACGAGATCCGCGTCTTCGCCACGCAGCAGTGCGTTCCTCTCAGCCAGAAAATCGTACAGTCGAGAATGTGAAAAGGAAAAGATACTGAACTCAGAGGCTGGATGAGCTATTCAAGTATATTGTCATCTTTTAGTACCCGGACATTTCAACGAGACTATCAAACCACGCATGGCGATTAGGAGCGTGGAGCCAGAAGAGATCGAATATCCGGATGTATTGGGAACAAGCCTTGTACCTAGTGACGGCTCGCAGGGACGTCTCAGGATGGCTGTCTAGGTGCTATTGGTCGGTGGAACGGGAAGGTACCGAAGTATACGCGGGCCTCTCGATCTGCCAGAGAGCCGCCCTCTGATTCACCCAATCTAGTAGATCTATGTGTGCAGGGCTCGAGGTGTGGCGAACCTCAACTGCTGCAACAACGCTGGGGTCCTACGAGAGAAATTGACCCTTTCCCCCTTCGCTTCACCTACCGCTGAGAAGGCCACATGGAGGACATTGGCCCAAAGGCGACAAAATGCATTGATGGGATGCAGATTGAGGCAAGCCGTCCAAGCGTGGTCGCGCATCTGCCCACCGCCACGGTAGGAGGCCATTGCTCTGATTCGACGGCTGAGAGGGAATGTCAGGCGGTGATAGCGGTCCTGAACTGCGCCCCGGGCATACATGGTCCGAAGCTAGTCTGGATGGCAAGAGAAGGCATTCCGTGATGCATGTTGGGCGGTCCAGTGGGCGTCTGCAACGATCTGATGGCCGGATAAATTTTTGTAAGAGGGTCATGTTGGCAGAGTTGGTGTCGGAGGCGCGGGAAAGTGGGCTCAGCCCCGGCTTCCTCGGGCCTACTCTCCGTAGACGACTGGGCGGAAGACCCATCAACGTGACTGGTAGACGGCCCGCCAAGCGCCTCTTGATTACCAATATATATCGAACGGAGGGGAAGACTACACGACCCTTCCCAATGTACGATCAAACACTGAACAGCGGTCGAGGCTCCATATCTCATATCTCAGAGATGCCCATAGTTCGACGATCACCTGTGAATGATATCGATTGAGTAATTCTGGGCATCAACAAGTTGTATTGCAGAATTCGACCCTCTATTGCTCCGATGCGCCGTCCGCTTCCACCAGAAACCATAACCGCGACCCTCCATAATCGCGATATCGATCCCGTTTCCCGAGGCCGCCGAAAGTCGGTTACGGTGATGACTCTCAGAGACCTCTAACTAACCCTCCGTAAGCGTCTAACGAAGAAACATGAACAACCGCCAGCGTGATCAACTTTTAATCAGGGCGCAGCCTCGCTAGAAAGCCCTGAACGTACCCCTCAAACGGCCATACAAATGAGGAGGCACAAGAGAATAAGGCGGCGGCATGTCCCATTGGCCTCCATCATCTTGACGTCTCATCCTCACTTACCATTCGTCCTCACGGGCGGGACGTCGACCTTGCATTGCGGCTTGTCGTTGCCTTAGTGCTTCTGCTAGACCTCCTGCGATGCTTCCGCTGCTGTCTCTAGCTCCGGGATCCAAGCTACTCGCTCCGCTTCCGGAGTAACCGCTGTCCCGCGCTGCAGCGGCCGCCGGGGGTTTCTTTGCAGCTGGGCGTTTTGCAGGCGGAGCAGGGGGCGTCGGCTTGGCGCGAAGCCCTCCGTTAGCAGCGGGGCGTGCCGGGGGTGCGGGCGGCGCTGGAGGAGGGGCAGGTTTGTTGACCACCTCTTCTAGGTATGCGGACGGCGCCCAACCAGACGCTGATTTATCTAATTTGCTTGCTAGCCACCACCCTGAGACATTATTAGATATTATGCTGCATCAGTATGTTGTGCAGAGATACGAACCGTTGCTCTCTTTTTGTGTGACCAATATCACCTCACCCTGCTGGATACTAAGCTCACCAGCCGATTGACCTAGAAAATCGTAAAGAGCGCGATAGGTTGGTTCTTTGGGTGCGGGAGGTGCTGTAGGAGGAGGTGGAGGTGGCGCACGGGTCGATGACGACGATTGATTGCGTCCGTGACTTGTACCGTTCGATAACGCAGCAACCGGTTGAGGTACAGGCCTTGGTTGGGATGCCGCAGGTGTCGTTTGCCTAGGTTGAGCAGGGCGATGGGAAAGCTTCGAAGGAGCCCCACCAGGTCCTCCAGGACGCAACAGCTTGCCTTTTGTGATTGGTTTGGCTGCGATTTGCTTCCCTTTGGGCGTGGGCCTAGAAACAGAATTTGGGGGCTCCCCTGGACCGGTATGTATGGTCCCGCTCTTGTACATATCATCCCTTGTGATTGACGGGTCTTTGACGGCCTTGATTTGTGCAGGTTTACCAGGTTTCTTGTTGAATTCGATGCTGTGTGGCGTCAGTCCTGACTGAGTGTAGATATACTACCAGAACTTACGTGTCTCCAATTCTCAGATTTAATGATCCCCTTAAAACAATTGTAAGGTGAGTGAAGAACTCTGTCTTGAAAACGCAGTTAACGAGGGGATCAGGCTCTTGTGGTGACCCAACGCTGATGGAGAACCAATCATCCTTTAAGGTCGAGGTTCCGACAAATTTGATCGCCCCAACTGGTATCGTTCGCTCAGCCTGGATCTGAATTTGCCTGTTCACCATGACTTGCTTTACCAGGTACACATTCCTCTTCGTGAGAATCAGCATCCTAGGCTCAGGCTTACTCGAACGACCAAGCTTGGAAACCAAGAGCTCAGCCCTGCACGAAAAGGGGACTTCCTCGTTGCTGGATATGTTCACAGCGGTTGCGATGACTTCTCCCGGTCCACCCCTGTTTCCGATCCCAAGATAGTCGCCCATGAATCTGCGTGAGCCAATCAAACTGAACCTTCTTCTTTCTTTGCGACCCTGAAGGACCTTGTGACCTTGATCACGAACTTGGATAAATTCTAGGCCACCGTTAACTCGTCTCCAGAAACGTTGTATACGAATAGCGCATTCAGTCCGATACCGCAGGTAGTTCCTCCATGCACGCTGGATTCGGATAGCCATGTTATGCCAGTAACGGTCACGCATCGTCTCGAGCGCAAATAACGTCTCTGGAGTTTTGATAAAGACCTTTGTTACTCCCATTTGGAATTCTTCGGTAGGGATGTTGGTATCCCTCAAGATCTGCTTCGCGCCACTTTGATAATCCCCCGACCAAGTGTATTCACCAGCATATGAGGTCTTAGGGGAAAGAAGGAAGAAGCGCTCCACGAATTTTTCAAATGTCTGACGCGATGCGAAACCAGCACGTCGAATACGGACGTTTTCTTGCAGACCGAGATACTTGACCTGGTGGAGGACGTTCGGCGAGTTGTACTCCGTGGGCGACTTGTTTTCGTTCGGTTTGATGGTTCGAATGTATGATGGCTGCGCCTTCATGAGAGTTGCAACGAGGTCATTTGCGGATGCTTTGATTTTGTCACCAGCCGTCGGAGGTCTCCTCCTGTTATCTTGGTCGACCTGGTTGGGGAACAGAACATGAACAAAACTGTTGGAGCTTTGGCTGAGAAGATTAAGGAGATCTTTTAGTAATTGGTCCTTATTTTTGTCCGTCATGCCGTCCACAGCGTATGACACATCGCCAGCATAGTGCTTAATGACGAACTGTCCCTGCCGAGGTTGGAAATTGGGGTTGGACGAAAGCGCATTCAATCTTTGAACAAACGTCTGATCTGCAGCGGTAGGGTCCGCATGCGCCGTAGCACAAGCGTCGTTCAACGCAGCGAAAACACCAGGCGGACGTTTTTCCTCGATCAGGTCGCAAACCACTTTGTTGTCGAAGTATTTGATAGGCGTCCACTTAATCTGCTCTCTCGCATACTCTTCTTGCTCAGTTCTCAGCGTCAGCTGGATGAAGATTTGCTGAAGCTTCTCGTTGACATAGTTGATACACAGTTGCTCGAAGCTATTTCTCTCGAAAATTTCGAATCCGTAAATATCCAGGATTCCAATTGAATGTGCCATTGCGCCTCGAGCTTTCAGGGACACGTTAACTCTTTCAACAATCCAATCGAACAAGTTGAAGTAGATCGCCTTAGACAACGCATCTCGGACTGAGGTCGCTTGGGCAGGATTGAGTGGGACGTCGTATACAGAACCCCTGCGTCCACCTCGGCTCGTTTCTACTACTCGCAGAGTAAGAGCTTTGTGAACATGTGCGGAATCAACTTCCAAAAGATACGCCACGAAGTCGATCACTGATTGGTCGGCAATCATGGCGTTTCCCGAATCATCTTCTTGGAAGGATACATTGCCCAGCCACAAAATTGCAGCTAGCATGCGGAAGATGTTGTCTTGCTCGCCTTGAGACAATCCAATAATCTTCATGGCATTCAGCGTATCCTTGAATTCCGCGTGATCATCTATTCCATCAACATCGTAACATTTCGATCGGCTCGTGTAAACGTAAGATTGGGGTTGTTGTACACCAAACGTTTCTGTCTAAATTAGCATCTTAAGAGTCTTTTAAGCCAAGATTCAACATACCCCTGTAATTCGATGATGCTGCCTTCGCAAACTGATAGAAAATGTGAAAATTTCGCTCGTTCGTGATCTGGCCGACCACTCTTGACTTTTCCAAAAGGTAGTTGTTGATGTTAGCTCCCACGGGCTCTCCTTGAGCATTGAATTGAATTTCAAGGTATTTCCCAAACCTTGAGGAGTTATTATTCCTCAAAGTCTTCGCATTTCCAAACGATTCAAGCAATGGATTAGTGGCCAGCACCATATCCTTTATCTCCTGAATAGAGGAATTACTTCCACCAGAGACATTTGCAATGTACTGCATTATTCGCTTCGCAGCTTCCGTCTTTCCAGCTCCTGATTCACCGGATATAATAATGCACTGGTTCTCTTTGTACGCGTTCATGTTGTAGTAAGAGGATTCAGCGATGGCGAAGACATGCGGAGGGACCTGAGCGTATTAGTGGTTAAATTGAAGATGGCCTTCCAGAGTCAAACCTCCAATCTGTTCTTGCCTCTGTAGCTATCCAGCACTTGATCCGTGTAGATGCCCACTATTCAGAATAAGCAATGATGCAGTATGAGGGGTGCTCATAACGTACGATCCCGGAATGGGTTGACGGACACCAGTACGTGTCCGATATAAGTCTGCAACTCAGTCAGTAAACTCGTGCAAAATGTCTCACGACCTGTCCTAGGTGGGGCTGGAGATTGCGTACATATATCTCGGCATTCTCGAATCTCTTCTTCAGATTGTCGTTGATGGCCTCATTCGAGATCTTGCTGATCAGCGTGAGATCTGATACGCCGACCTCCTTCTTCCTTGTGGTTTCGAAGACTGCCTTCTTTGCGAACTGGGCCTTCTTCTGCCCCCCGCCAGAAGCCTGTTTGGCGCCGCCGGCATCTTTCTTGCGCCCCGCACGCTTTGTCTGCGCCTACACAGAAGACAAGATATCAGAATCTGCAACTTCGTCAAAACACAATTTGGCGGTGACCCTACCATGGTTGGTGCCCGAAAGCGCGCTCAAATTCCGTGGGGCCTGTTCAAGGCTAATTCGCGGAACAGAGGGCTAGATGTAAGGATGCAGCTGTTCTGGAATCAGGGAGGTCGAGGAGGCCGAGGACGATGTGTCTGTATGCGACAAAGGCTCTCGATGAGGTGCGCAGTGTGTGAAGTAAGTGGGCTAGTTTGTTGGAGCGCCTCAGATTCCTGACGTTCGTCACGGAGGCTCGGAAGGACAAGCCACTTCACTGACACAGCCACTTTACGCAAGCTGATCCTTGGCAATTCGCGTTTCAAGAACAAGTTCTCTCAGAGTCCTCGCAAGTGTTGCTAACGTTACCGTGCTTGTTACACTCTCTTACATTCAGGCAGCCGCATCTTGTCAATCTTTATTGTTAATTCTTCTGCTTCTCGATGCCGTCATGACCGGACCAAAATAGAAATGTGCATAACATCATGAACAAGGGCTCCTGGCTTCATGAACAAGACAATTCAAAGCAGAACGCCGACGCTCAGAGCTTCAAACACAGAGACGCCATGATGATGCCAAGATGCGAATATCACTCATACCCAAAACGCCGTCGCTCCCCAATCCAGCCGACAAAATCCATTATCCAAACAAATCACCACCGAATCGCCCAACGCTGACCCAGTCGTGCTTCTTATTGTCTTCCAGTTGAGGCCCTTCCCATTTGTAGGAGCCGGGCTTAGAAAGACACCCAATGCCCCCACCTTGAATCCATCCGTCCAGAATTGTTCGAATCAATTCAAGCTTCGGTCGCAATAAATTACCCTCGGTGATTTCCTTATAAGTATCTGCCTTGTCCGCAGAGCCGTAGAGGAGTTGCTGAAGGGAACCGTGAAGGATCTCGCGATCCTTAATATATTTGAACGGAACGTCGCCTGCCTCTCGAAGTAGCGTCATGGCCTCCCTGGACAAGCAGATGAACTTGCAATACCCAGCATCAAAGGAGCATACCAGTTTGGTATGGTCTGGAAAATTGAACTGAGAAGTTTTTGTTAGTCAATTCCTCTGTCACCTGTCGGAATCTTGCTTACCTGGAATGAGCCGTCGGCGAAACCCCATATACCAACATTTCCCAGGCGCTGGTAAAACTTCACAAAGTTGGCCGGCGCAGACTCTTTCTTCTGGGGACGCAACTCCATGCCCAGCTGCACACACATGTATTTTCCAAACTTGTTCCATATTGACTGCATGCCCTCCACACGATCCCTATCAAGGACCTCAATCCGCGACAACCCCATGCCTTCCTCAGGAACCGCGTAGTATTGCATCGGAATCCGCCCCGCGTATTTCGGATCTTTGGCGAGTTTCCTGAGGTATGCACCTCCATCCGGAGCGAAGGCTGTGGTAACCGGGTGCTTACCGGTAGCCGAAGCAATGCAGCCGACGCATCCGTCATCAAGAACGTAACCTACACCATGTTTTCGAGAGTAATCGACCCATTTAGATACGAATGGAAGTTGCGACGACCTGCCCCGGCCGGAGTTTGACGGCTTCTTCTGGAGTGCGCGTACTATATTATCTCTGAAAGTATAGAGCTGTGCTAGCACTGAAGCCGGGTCTGTTGATGGGAGTTCTAAGCCCATGGCTCGAAGCGGAGGCGAAGAATTGGTAGAGACGGACTTTTTTGCTGAGAATGACTCTACCTTTTCAACCAACTTGGAAGCAGTTTTCACTGTGCGTACGGGCTGCAACTCTGGCAAAGGTTCCTCTTTCTCATTCGTGATGTCCCTCGTTGACCTGGTACGCTGAGCGGTCCGGGTATGCCTAGGTACACGCAAAGGTACCGGTGCCGCAGTGGCAGCTGTGACACGATCAGGATTCGAAATCTTCCGGACAGACCTCATGCGGGTCGGCTGTTTATCCACAACTCTCTTCACTGTCTCTGGTTCCTGTCCTGGTTCTTTGTTCTCCTTGAGGGGTGGAGCCATGGCTTCCTTTCTCACATTTCGAGCTTGACGACCCTTTGCACGGTCATTTCCCGTGGTTTCAATCAGAGCTTGCCCTTCTGACGAGGACTCCTTCTCCTCTGGAATTTCGCTCAGGCCGCCAGCAGCTTGAAATGGCCAGTGGGTACGTTCGGGGAAGGGCAAGTAGACTGTATCCTTGGCAAATGGAATGTTGGGTTGTTTTCCTGATTCGATTTCCTTCTGGCAATCTCTAGCCACTGTTTTGTTCCTCCTGCCCCCATATGCCCCAAAACTCTTTCCAACCTCAAACTCGCCGACAGCGGAGTCTTTGCACAACGTCCACCACTCATCAGTATATCCACGCCTTATCGTTGAAGCCGAGGGTGGGCGTATCTTGGGCCATTTGGGGACTCGAGAGGTGCACGAGGAATCGAGCTTCAAGGGGATGTGCCCTAATTTAAAGAAGGTATGGCTAACGATTTGATCTGGGGTCGGGCGGTCATCTTCGGGAACAAGGAGACATGAGACAATGTCGCGGAGGTCGTCTGTGATCTCATTCTGGAATTTGGCAAGATCGGGCCAAGAATACTCTCGTGCCTTCAGCTTCCGGTAAATGTCCTCTCGTTTCGCCGCGTGGAAAGGTGCTCTGCCAACAGCCAGGGTGTACCTATTTGGTGTCAGTACTCTCAGTCTCAATACAGAAAGTATATGCTTACATCATGATCCCGATAGCCCACAGATCGACCTTCTCATCGTGACCCTTACCAGTTTTTTCCAGCACCTCTGGCGCCAGGTAGTTTGGGGTCCCACACATAGTGGTTCGACGAATAGCACCGAAATCGTTCTGCGATACAAGTAGGGCCGCCAGGCCAAAATCTCCGACCTTAACGTTCATGTCTTTGTCTAGGAACAGATTCCCCGTCTTCAGGTCTCTGTGTACGATGTTCCGCTGATGCAAGTACTTTATCGCTCCACACGTCTGGACCATAAACCGTCGAATCTCCGGCATGGTAAAATATTTACGCTTCTTGATAGCATCGGCAAGGGAGCCGTTCTCGCAGAGCTCCAGGACGACGTAGGTGCTGGTTTGGAAAGAGAATGCGCGGTAGAATTCGACGATGTTTGTATGGGATAACTTGGAATGGATCTGCAGCTCGGTCACAAACTACACAGGGTGAGCAATCATGTAGAAGGGTATCGGAAGAGGGTGGTGAACCTTTTGTGCCAGTTTGGGAGGCTCCATCTTAGATTTGACAATCTTCAAAGCGACTGTGTTGCTCCCAAGATGCTCATGGCCCAGCAACTTCGCCCGATGACAGATGGCGAAGCCACCTTTACCTAGCTGCGGTCCGGTCTCATACTGTAAGCCTTCCGGGTCGCAGACCACCTCAGGTGGTGGTTCGGCGTGGACTGAGGAGGCAGACATTGGGTGGTGGTTGAATGTCGGGATGGGTTGGTGGTTGATGTCGAGTCTAAACAAACATTGCAACTCGCGTAAGTTGTCCAGGGGATTTCGGCGCTAGGACCGAGTCAGCTAGTCGCCTTGCCAGCTCGGCAGACTGCGTGATTAAATTAGGTGCTGACGGCGAAGCTCCGAATACCTCGGTGTTCAGCGCAGACTGAACATGTAAGTATACCCAAGCGGGTCAGTTTAGTGTGAAGCAAAATGCTGCACTATTATGATGTTACCATCTTCGGATAGCGTTGCTAAGTCAGCCCGGAGCACCGACATTGTTCCCTCTTCCAAAGGCAACCTCAATCGATGTCACATTTCGTGAATTGCTCACATCGCAGTAGCAGTTTGTTACAAAATACTTTCTATATCAAGCATAATGACCTACAATTGATTAGAATTGCGGTGCATGGTCAACCGCCACTAAATGCCTAATTCTGCCATCCCCAACACTTCCGACACTTCCGACACTTCCGTCTTTACCGGTTCACGATGTCCCTTACCCTTAAGATTACCTCACTCTTCGTGAGGACGTTGGCGAAGCCGATGGCTGTACGATACTACCTCTCAGGATGCCGAAAGTAATCTAACCCTGCCTCTGTAGAATGCGATTAAGCGAAATGCTCACGAGCACGAACGATTCCGAAAGCTATGTGTACGCTTCGCCCAGAGTCTTCACCGGATCGATATGCGGATGCGACTAGGCTTACTTCAGGATCCCGCCGTCATCGACCGACAAATTGCGAAGGAGGTAGCGGCAGCAGAGGCGGCGCGAAAGAAGGCTCAAATACCGACAGTGAAGACAGAAGCACGGATGAAAGCCGAAGAAGCCATGTCAGAAAAAGAGAAGGAAGCAATCAGGAAAAAGGCAGAAGCAGCTCACAAGCCTCCACGGATTCGACCGCTGTCGGAAGCAAAGGCCATCGAGACTGGTGCGAACTTCGCTGCGGAGACATTCATATTCACGGTTGGTATTGGGGTTATTGTATTTGAGCAGTGGAGGCAGAGGAGGAAGGCCCGGAACCAAAGAGGTGGTCTGGAAGACAAGTTAGAAGATTTACAGACCGAGCTCAAGGCAGTAAAGGCCGAGCTGGACGAAGTGAAAGCACGACAGTCACTGGCCGGAAATGGGAATCTACCCGGCCTTCGGAAAGGAAAAGCAGAACCACATCTATTCGATCCAGACTCGCGTGTCGACCACAGAGCGCAATCTAAACTGGAACCGGCAGTCTCCCCCCCATTGTCGACAGTGGAACAAAAGACTGTGAAATAGTATGTCGAGGCAGGAAGTGAAGGCATCTTTCTGTATCTTCTTCCCTTTGGACTTTTCTCGACAGTCACCTTCTTGCCATAGACGTCGGTCAAGCTGGACGCCGGTATGTGCGGCATTTCAGCCTGCATTGTACATTCTCCTCTCACGATACCCTTTCTAAACTTGGATTCTATATAGATGGCCACGACAGCGACACTCCCCTTTTTGCACTAACTTGCGTGGGGAACTCTTTAACTTTCTAACCTCAACAAAGTTCTCTCGAACTTAAGAAAGGAGGGACGAACAAACACCACAGTTAGACAAAACAAAATATTAGCTATGTACAACTATGACTTCCAAAAAGTGTTATTGCTCAATCTAGGTGACATATTGTTCTGGTCCTGGCATAGTTATCCAAAGTCTTAAGTGTCCACGGATAGGTTGGAGGAATTGTGTTAAGTGGTTCCTTCCTCGCCTTCGGTCTATGACGCACTGGGTTTTCTCCCAACCAATGACTACGAATATCTAGGATCAAGATCAGGCACTCTTCATGTATGCATCACGTTGCTTGCACTTATCTTCGTTACCTCGCCAGTAAGAGTGTCGAGAGAGCCCTACTATCCCTTCATGAGTGGTGGTTTGGCGGCGGTTCACTACATGTGCTTTCGCTGACAATAAAACAAGCCCTGCAAGACCTCTAGCGTCTCATATTCATTCACTTCAGCACCCTTTAACGTTAAGTAGCTGACTGAATGATGCTGGAGACGCACTAACAGCCGGCGCCAGATCACAACAACAAACGAGCAAGGGTCACTGCAAAAAGCATGGATTTCTTCGAACGTACTGAATCCTTGGCAACCGAGCTGATGCAGGCTGAAGGCATCTCCTATGAATCGGGTGAAATAATAGACTCTGCCTGGTTGGCCATTCCCAGGAGCGCTGTAGAACAACCCAGTTGCCATGATGGATTGAATATGAGTTTCTCCCTACAACTGCAGCCGAGAGCATGGAAGGGGTCAGGAAATCAGATGACTGGATCTGTCAAGGTTCGTGATAGGCTGATAATTCCAGTCCACAATCTTTTAAATTGGCTGACGGTAAGCTCAGGACGGAAGGGACTGCAACAACACCAAGAGCACCTCTTCTCTCGTCGAATCTAAGAATAGAGTAGAGCCCACTTCCTCGGCCCATGTGTCCTTAATGAACACCAAAGCTGGTTCTTACACCATCCCGCAGTTTGATGGATCTAATGAAAATCGCCACGAGATCACCTCGGCTTTTTTTCAAGAACTGCCCGAAACCCAACGAGAGCGTTCCAGGACGCCTAGAACACAATGTCAGGTAACCGCAACCGCAGTCATGGATCTGCTTCCATTCTGCACAAGCCAAACGCAATTGGATAACGAGCTGTTAATCAGACTGAGCGATGTTGCGGGGAGCTTGAAGGAAATCGTTCTTCTTGCATTGGGTGGAGCAATTGACAGTTGTATGAGGAGCACTCTAGAGAGAGCCGTTGGGCCGGACGTTTCTGCTGGTATCATCGAGTTCTGGAGTGATGAGTGGGTTGCTGATATGTAGAAGCACTTAGGGTTGGGAAATATGGGAACTGGGGAAACATGAAAGGCAGACGCATGGAAGATTTGGTGCTTGTTGTAAGATCTTTCAGAGAAGAGGTGCTGTAACGAGGCCGTTATACCTCATGCCCATGCGTTATCAATCCAATGAGGCAACGCCACTCCTACCCCCAATCTTTTGCTTTTGCGATCTTTAGTTGTCTACCTGCATATGCCAACTCCAATTAATAGCTTCTAGGAATCCTTACTTCCGACATCATCTCCTCTTTAACGCCATCAAAGCTTCCTCTTACTACTCTTATTCCTCAGTCCTCGTCAGCCATCGCTGATCCAATGGTTCCTCTTTTAGGGAGGCTGGTGGACTGTTCTCCATCCACTTTCAAGGAAAAAACCTGTCGACGACCAAACTATATGCGGTTCTGAACCGCCCTTCAGAGACATACTTGGGTGGCTCCTCCGAATTCAACTTCTGGAGTCGAATACTACGGGAAAGTTGACGAATACGCTGAATGAGTTAGGTGCTTTTAAGTCATGTCTGCGAGCGCAACACTTCAATCAATAGATTTCAAGACATCTTCTTGACAAGCATATGCTGTCTAATCTCATGACTAGGGCCTGTATTCTTGCTGATATAGAATAAAGATGAGGTGTTACCATTAGTAGAGATTGTTGGAACCCCCATTGGGACTGATACTTGCCTTCTCGAACAACCTGCGAGAGAAGAAGTGTTACGGGGTTTCCTGGACTGGACAGGGTACCCATTAGCATACAGCATGAGTGGAAGACTTTTCTGGCTCAAGGCCATCAGCAATCCTTTCTCAGTCTTTAGAAGAGCATAGAACATGATCACGCGTGGGAACCGATATCAAAAGGTCCGTTTAGTCCATAGGACCAAGAATAGTCTAGATCTTGTCCGATCCGCCGTCAGTCAAGGGACTGTTCCCAGGCCTTTTTGCTTTCTGCTTCCCGAATTCGGTTTCTGTGTTAGCTCAATTCAAGATATGGCAACTAGGAACAGGGAATTTCACGCCGCAAAGGTACGAGGTAGCGCGTTAAAGGAGCAAGCAAATCACGCGATTTATCCCCCAATCAGACAATCTAGCCCCTAAAAAATGTACCAATTACTCTGACTCAACTTTCCCAGACCGTCGCGTTCAGAAGTCGGACCTCGTGACCAAAGAGCAACATTTTGTACACAGCTAAAGGACAACAGATTTACAAAATCAGATTCTCTTATTTTACTATGGAATTTTGACTCCTCCCTCCCTTCACTTCCTTCCATGCGAGAAATCTGGAGATTCACGATCTAAGAAAATCTGGTCTAGCTGTGCCGTAATCTGTTGAAACAGCGAAGCCTCTCAGTGTTTCCATCAGGAAGTAGTACAATTCGACTCAGGCTTTCTAGACAAGTTACGTCTTATTTATTATATACTTTTGTTTACTTCACCTAACAGTAGGGGTTAATATAATTAAGTTATAGTTTAATTAAAGCTACTTATACTTTTTAACTTTTTACTAAAAGTTATAACGTACTTCATGGGCGAGTTGCTCACACACCCGAGTCGCTCACTTTTGCCAAGACCCCACCAAACCACCCTTCCTACACTAATGCATTCCCCACAACACTACTTAGACGCGCTAAAAGAACGTTAGATACAGCTTACGCTCTAAGCTTTTAAATAAGACATAAAACTCTTAAAGAAATATGCTATAGCTATGTGCAAAGTCTTATAAAAGACAATAAATAACTACAGCGCTAAACAACCTTTATAAGCTAATTCTATAGTTAAATTATAA